AAGGTAAAAATCATTTCTTGTTAAAAAAAAAAGAGTTGCAACGGGGTTAAAAGAAATCAAGACAAACACCGACCAAAGTTCTTAAGAATTCTATAAACAACAAGAAAAATAGAAAATTGGTAAGAAGCGGACTGCAGGAGCAGCAGCCTGACGAGGACCCGGCCACTGCAGCAGCTCTCAGGATCCCAAATTACCCCCGGCGGTGGTCCCTGCAGCCACCAGACCGGACGTGTGTCGCTCACCACAGCCCCTGGCCCATCGCTACTGCCACACACCCACCTCAACCCACATTTCTAGCTTCCTCAACCAAAGCATTTACGCAGCACTGGCAGTTGAGAAGCAAAAACATGCATAATCCAGAACTTACTACATACACCCCTATTAATGCCCTCAGTAACACTGGTTAGAGTATGTACAGTATTCACCTAAGGACGGTTGACACATATTGCAACACCACAGAATCGCTGTAGCAAAAGTATAGTTGTGGAAACTACTATGCATGAAATTATGTTCCGTCTACTGGTTATACTTGTAATTCCATGACTGCATGTAGGACGCGGGAAGTGTTCGACAACATCAGCTACAGGTGGCAGTTTAACAACCCATCAAAGATCTTGATACATGTAGCGTAAACCCATTTCCCTTTTGTCTGGTCCGCCCCTGTCCACCAGTGAGGTGCTCAGTTTGTGAGAAGCTAGACACATCTGAGGAGATAATATGAGATACGTGTTTTAATAGCCTATGGTTCTTGTTTGATATATTTTCCAGCGTTTACCTTCTTTGTGACGTAAGGGTGGGAATACAAAGTAGGTAGTAGGCAGCTACCAAACAGGGAGGTACTACCTCCTGGGAAGATATTGGAAGCATAATGTGTTGTCTAATGGTAGACCCTGCTGCCATATGGCATCACGAAAATTGTGACCAAGTCCTAGGTTCCTGATCTGACTTCTGCCTCATTTACACACAATTGCAGGGTCTCACTAGTTTCTCTTACTATTGACAACACAACATACAAATATTGTGTCTCACTCTCGACCTTTTTTTTTAATTTTTGTATTTCTTTATGGTTCTTTATTTTTATTATTACCTTTTCACCCCGGTCAGTGACCTGTGCCCGGGTGGGCTAATCCCCGTAAAAAAAAGAAAGAAAAAAATGTAAGCCTCTAGTCGTATGCAGCACGTCTTCCTTGACCGTGTCTCTCAAGTTACATGATTAACAACAGTGAACAGCTTTCAACACAGGAGAGCATTGACTGCTATTAAAGTGACAAAATATTTCCATTTTAACACCAAATAGTTCCTGGTCATATTATCGCCTAGCAGCACTATTAAGAATAAAAAAACTGACCGGAAGTGCTTCTGCCGTTAACGCCTCGCCTAGCATCTGTAGCGCAGTCGACCCTGACCAGGTGAACTCCTCACTGTTTAATTATAACTGCACTACGAGAAGTGTTTGTGACGGTCAACACATTTCCTTGGTGACTAATGTTGAGCTGATTATCAGACTACCAAGAATCACGTGCATTTACTAGCCTATTCCAAGTTATAGCTCCAATGTCAATCGGAATTTAACATAGCTACAACTTCAGCGTAATAATACTTGGATACTGGTCACTTCGCACCCAAGTCATTTTGTATTAATGAATGACCTAATGAGTGAATACAGGATTTACCTGAATTACAATGACGGCAAATTTAAATCTGTACAGGAATAGTTACTCTTTTAACCTGATATGACACCGACTTGTATGTTAACTTGTCAGTCTCATGTGGGAACAGTGTGACCGCATGAAGTATATATTGCAACACGTTATACTATTAACATTACCATGAACTTTTATAGAAGGTTCCGAATGAAGTTATAAACCCAGAAAAAAATAAAAACTACCTTATGATCAACACTGCCTGTGGTCTCCATTAGCCTAGCCGAGGATAGTACCCGGATATCGCCATCGCCTGACACCCCGTTATAGCATCCTGGCTAGAGGGGACTGTTATAAAGACTTAAAACAACCACATACAGCCAGTTGCTTTATTTCAAAATCAGCCGAAACAACTCAGTCTGCTACACTATAACTGGACGTGTAATTTACTGAAGAAAATGCCAACTGAATGGTACATTTATTAAGTTACCTGGTTATAATCTAGAGTAGTTGGTCTGTGTTTTGACATCTCCAAATAGTACAAAGGATCCAGTGAATATGGGATTACTAAGATTCTCCGATATAAAATAAATATTCATTAAGGAATGTGTGGTTGGGTGTAAACAAGAACTGATGCATGGGACAACAGGTCCACTGGAGTTTCATTTCTTCTTATGAATGACTTAAATAATACTAAATTAACATACGGTACAATCTAACCCCCCCCCCCTCCAACACACACACACACACACACACACAAATCAATGACTTCCTTTGTTATTACCCGGTATATAATGTTAAGAGAACCCTGGCATAACAGCGCCATTAAAATTCCACACAATATTCACTTATTCTGCAAATAGCTGTGAGACTATGAAACCATGCACCGGGGTGAGGGAGTGTTGACCGTGACAATGTTTTCACGTTCACCTGCCAGTCACTTAACATAAGAACATAAGAATGGAGGAAACTGCAGCGGGCCTATTGGCCCATACTGGGCAGTCCCGTTTACACCCAACCCCTATCGCTCATATAAGCATCCAACCTATGTTTGAAGCTATTCAGCGTATTCGAGTTAATGATGATATTTGGTAACTTGTTCCACTCGTCCACTACTCTGTTTCCAAACCAGTGTTTACCTATTTCACGCCTAAATCTAAATTTGTCTAATTTAAAACCATTGTTACGAGTTCGCTCCTGGTTGGATAGTTTGAGTGCCTTTGTAATGTCCCCTTTGTTTAGCCCTGACTTCCACTTATACACCTCTATCAGGTCGCCCCTCGCTCTACGTCTCTCGAGGGAGTGCAAATTAAGATGCTTTAACCTGTCTCTATACTCAAGGTTCCTAATGCCCGGGATTAGTCTTGTCATTCTCCTCTGAATTCTTTCCAATGATTCTATATCCATCCTGTAATACGGTGACCAGAACTGAACTGCGTAATCCAGGTGTGGTCTCACAAGAGCAAGATACAGTTTTAGGATGACCTCGCTAGTTTTGTAACTAACACTCCTTTGTATGAACCCACAATTCCCTCCCCACACACACGACACGCCATTTAAGGATAACATAAGAATGGAGGAAACTGCAGCGAACCTATTGGCCCATACTAGGCAGTCCCGTTTACACCCAACCCCTATCGCTCATATACCCATCCAACCTATGTTTGAAGCTACCCAGCGTATTCGAGTTAATGATGATGTTTGGTAACTTGTTCCACTCGTCCACTACTCTATTTCCAAACCAGTGACTACCTATCTCGCGCCTAAATTTAAATGTCTAATTTAAAGCCATTACTACGAATTCGCTCCAGGTCGGATAATTTAAGTACCTTTGTTTAACCCTGACTTCCATTTATACACCTCAATCATATCGAAAATCACTCTTACGTCTCTGGAGGGAGTGCAAATTCAGAAGTTTTAACCTGTCTCTGTACTCAAGGTTCCTAATGCCCGGGATTGACAGGTTAAAGCATCTTAATTTGCACTCCCTCGAGTGACGTAGAGTGAGGGGCGATATGATAGAGGTGTATAAATGGAAGTCAGGGATAAACAAAGGGGACATTACAAAGGTACTCAACTATCCAACCAGGAGCGAACTCCTAACAATGGCTTTAAATTAGACAAATTTAGATTTAGGCGTGAAATAGATAAACATTGATTTGGAAATAGATTAGTGGATGAATGTAACAAGTTACCAAACTTCATCATTAACTCGAATACGCTGGATAGCTTCAAACATAGGTTGGATGGGTATATGAGCAATAGGGGTTGAGTGTAAATGGGACTGCCTGGTATGGACCAATAGGCCCGCTGCAGTTTCCTCCATTCTTATGTTTTTAGGATTAGTCTTGGCATTCTCCTCTGAATGCTACTCTCACGTAAGGTTAAGTATCCTTGAATATGTTAAGAACAGGACACCACGAAAATAAAGGTTAGGAGTGATTTAATTTGCAGTAAATTCATTAACTGAATACAATTTTGTACAGGACAGCTCTGGTATCGTAACTGCGAAAAGTAAGCCTTGGATACTTCGGTCAAGTAAAATATGCAGTACATTGCTATTTACAGCTAGTTACTGAACCAATGTCACATGTAGTTACTTAGCTTATTCGTTATATGTCCACCAGTCATAGACTACGGAGCACTTTTCTTAAACCTTTGATAACTGTTTAGTCAATGTCCTACCACGACCAGTTACTTCACTGACAAGGAATTAGACATTTTCGTCACACACTGGTGATTATTATAACACGTAAGTTCTCAATAACATTAGATTCAGCAACGAGGGAGTTTACCTTCTTTACGGATTCATTTATCTACACACTAACTTGTGCCTGTGTCAGTGTGTGGTGAAGGCGTGGGTGTTTCTAATCATTCCAGCCCATTCTCTGACTTTATATAAAAAATACCCCCCCAACATATACTACAGGACTGTCACTGTCGACCCCACCACACAGCTGAGGAACAAGACAATAACAGACCCACCTTGATCTCTGACAAAACCTGACATAAGGAACTACCTGCTCTAACAACCAACTAAAAATGGTTCTTGATACGGTTTAACAAGATCTTTAATAACGTATTCTGCTGCAAATCCGATGGATGACCAGAAAAAGCACTCGTCTGTAACCCATTAATGACACAGCACACAAACCAATCCAAACTACCACAGGATAGTGTAGTCATGGAGCGGGTCAGGCCTAACCCAAAATAGACCAACATCTTGTATAAAAAAACATATTTTAATGTTTTAGGATATTCGTCGTGTTAAGATCAGATTTAGTGTTGCTCTAGAGTCTAGGGGACTATATTCACCTTTAGGCTGAAAGCGCTGAAAACAGTCTCACAATTGCTCACCTGAGATGCCGGTAGTCTGCCAATGCTCCAAGATCTTCAACACAACGTAAGCAAGGTATCCAAAGAAGTCAATGTTTTGCAGTTTTTAAGTTTTCATAGCAGTAACTCATGTATATCCTCGCGATTCAGATGTCAATCTTTAACAGCATTTCTCTAGCTCACGATATATGATTACCAAGTATTCACAAACTACCAAATCGATAAACTATCAACCTCACTTCAGGCTTCGTGGTCTACTACTGAGAAAACTATGTTCAGCATTGTGTGCCGACTGCCGAGTACATTTACCTGAGAAACATGTTGTACATGATTAAAATATCTATATTAAAATTTTATACACAAAATTTTACAACAAAATTATTTACACACTTATTTGAAGTTATATTTATATCCAATATAAATTGGAATGTGAGAATCAAACTGATCATATGAGTAATGGACGAGGATAAGGTGGGGCTCATACGTCTGACAACAATATTTGGCAGCGTGGACCAACCACGTGACAAGGAGCGTAGAGGTTAGTTAATTTTGTATAGTTATCACCTTAAAACTACTACATGTACTGAAGGCAATAGTAGTGTATTTATCAGATAATAAGGGTACCTCAGAATTAAATTTTTTATTTGCAATTTTCGTTCTTGTTCGCACTGATTAGTGGGGAACCTCAAGTACAGTGAATCACCTTGTTTACACACTAGCAAAATGCAGGGATGCGTACGCAAATGTAAACACACGCAAGACACACTGATGCATTGCCCGAGTAACACATTCCGTGAGTAAGAAGAGTCACTTTCAGTAACAATGTCCAGAATATGTGATAAACATAGCCTGGTGCTGGTGTGATGCCTCGCCTGGTGCTGGTGTGATGCCTCGCCTGGTGCTGGCATGATGCCTTGCCTGGTGCTGGTGTGATGCCTCGCCTGGTGCTGGCATGATGCCTTGCCTGGTGCTGGTGTGAAGCCTCGCCTGGTGCTGGTGTGAAGCCTCGCCTGGTGCTGGTGTGAAGCCTCGCCTGGTGCTGGTATGATGCCTCGCCTGGTGCTGGCATGATGCCTTGCCTGGTGCTGGTGTGAAGCCTCGCCTGGTGCTGGTGTGAAGCCTCGCCTGGTGCTGGTATGATGCCTCGCCTGGTGGTGGTGTGATGACCGCACTAGTACTCTCCCTGGTACTAATCTGGCGTGTACCAGTGCTGCAGGCAGATATTTTATATCAATCTTGTACCATTATAACGAACATACGATTATTCTGAAACTATAATTGGTTGAGGTTGATTGTACAGGGGCAGCAGAGTAATGTTTGTGACTTACGAAACAAGTGAGGGAAAAGTTAATTTATGAGAAAAAAATGCCTTGTTACCGTTTGAAAATGTCAATAAAGGAAATTATCAGCACTAAGCGGAAGTTAGCCAGGAAGTAATGAGGGAAAAGTGTAATGTGCCTGCGTGATATGCCTTACTCTAGACTCTACGAGACTGAGTCTATGCTCTCTTGTATACACCATTATTTCGTCTCCCCGGTATCACAGCCGTCACGTGTGGAATTCAAATAACAATTAGTGAATGGTAGCTACACTTCAAATACATTCACTGGATTAGGCCACGTTGCGGATATTGACATATTTTCTCAGGTAATCAAGTCAACAATGTTAGGAAATTACTGAATATGACTCCGAAATAAAGTGTTGTGACCCGAATGACAGTGAAACTCTCAGGTCCATTCATTGGTCAAGGCAGTGTCATGATAGTTATACAGTATATTTACCAGGGTCTGGGTACTCAAAAACATTTAAGACGTCCCATCTCTCAGAGTTGGTCATAACTTGGGCCACGACGTCTTTCTTCGCTGTGACTCAATAGAATAATCAAAACAAAATTGGCCCATGGGCACGGCCATGTTTGATAAGAACATAAGAAAATAAGGAGTCTGCAATAGGCCGGTTGGCCTGTGCATGGCAGCTACTGTCGAGAGTTACTACCACTCTCTATCATCCATGAATCTATCCAGTCTCCTTTTAAAACTTTCCAGAGTTCCCGCACTTACTACAAAGTTGCTAAGCTTGTTCCACTCGTCCACCACCCTATTTGTGAACCAGTTTCTTCCTATCTCCCTCCTAAACCTAAACTTATCCAACTTGAATCCGTTGCTCCGAGTCCTATCCTGCTCGGATATTATAAGAACTTTATCTATATCCCCTTTATTGATTCCTTTCACCCACTTAAATACTTCTATCATATCTCCCCGCACTCTTCGTCTTTCTAGGGAATGCAAGTTAAGTTTTTTAACCTATCCTGATATGAAGGTTTCTAAGTCCCGGAATCATTTTTGTCATTCTTCGCTGCACCGACTCTAGTGAATTTATATCCATTCTATAATAGGGGCACCAGAACTGAACCGCATAATCGAGGTGTGGCCTGACTAGCGCAAGATATAGTTGCAATAAGACCTCTGCACTCTTGTTACACTTCTAGATATAAAACCCAATACTCTGTTTGCCTTATTTCGAACATTAACGCACTGTTTTCTAGGCCGTAGGTCCGGGCTTACAAGTACCCCTAGGTCTCTTTCACAAGTCGACTTCTCTAGGTTGATGTTGTTAAGGCTGTATACATTATAAGTATTTGTTCTTCCAATATTAAGTACGCTGCACTTGCTGGTGTTGAATTTCATTTGCCATTTTTCAGACCACCCCTGCAGTTTATTTAGATCCTCCTGTAATGCATTTGCATCCTGCCCTGAATTAATCTGCCGCCCTATTTTGGTGTCATCCGCAAACTTGCTTATGTCACTGCTGATCCCAGTATCTAGATCGTTTATGTAGATTATGAACAAGAGTGGGCCTAGTACTGACCCCTGGGGAACCCCACTGGTTACACGGCCCCACTCAGATTTAACACCATCTACGCTGACCCTCTGCGTTCTATCGGTGAGCCATGATTTTTCCAATTTAAAACTTTCCCCTCGATACCATGAGCCTTAATTTTTCTCAGAAGCCTCTGATGCGGTACTCTGTCAAATGCTTTGCTAAAGTCTAAGTAAATAACATCGTAATTTTCGTCATTATCTACTACCTCGAAGACTTTCCTAAAAAACGTTAGCAGATTTGTTAGACAAGATTTTCCCTTTGTAAACCCATGTTGAGAGTCGTAGATTAATTTGCTTTTCTCTAGATGCGATCGGATGCTATCTGCTATAATTGATTCAAGAAATTTCCCCACTACTGACGTCAAACTGATCGGCCGGTAATTTGACGCTGATGCTGTCTCCCTTTTTGAATATGGGTACTACATTTGCCTGTTTCCACAAGTCTGGCACAACTCCAGTGTCTAATGATTTTGTAAATAAGTTTACGAGGGGTCCGCTAATCTGTTCCCTACACTCTTTCAAGACTCGAGGGAAAATTTCATCCGGCCCTGGGGATTTTGTTTTCTTTAGTTTATTTATCTTCTTAAGAACATCCTTTTTCTGATAGTGATATTCTTTACTTTCTCTTCTTCCTTTCCCTTAAATATCAGTTCCACCTCTGGAATTTCATCGCAAATTTCTTCTGTGAAAACTGATAAGAAGTAGCTGTTCAATGCTTTGCTTATTTCTTCACTGCCATTTATCACTTCTCCCCTCCCTGACTTTAAAGGCCCAACTTTGTCCTTGACCTTTGTCCTATATAACTGGAAAAATCCCTTGGGATTCGCCTTGGATTCTCTTGCTATTTTGATTTCATAGTCTCTCTTTGCTTTCCTTAAATTTTTCTTAACATTCCTAGATCGTTCATTATACCTATTTCTGAGCTGCTCCTCCCCTCCCTTTAATTTGTTAAAGACGCCTCCATCGTCAATATTTATAAGAAAACGGGAGACTGGTCAGACTGTGGCAACTACTGCAGGATCTTGCTGCTGTCTGTAGCTGGCAAGATTATCGCCCGAACCCTCCTAAACAGACTCCTTCCTGAGGCGGAAAACTTCCACCCAGAATCTCAGTGTGACTTTAGACCATCAAGTGGCACCACTGACATGATCTTTGCTGCTCGCCAGATACAGGAAAAATGCAGAGAACAGTGTCGTGACCTGTACATGCCCTCATCGACCTAATCAAGGCCTTTGACTTGGTCAACAGGGAAGCCCTCTGCCCACCAAAATTCATCGCCATTGTAAAGCATCTCCATGATGGCATGAACGGCAAAGTTCTGCACAATGGCACCCAGTCTGAGTTCTTCCCTATCCAAACGGGGGTAAAACAAGAGTGTGTACTGGCAACAACTCTCTTTTCCATTTTCTTGGCTGCCTTCCTTACCCGTGCCAGTGCCAATTTAGCCGGCAGGGTGGACATCCAGTACCGGATGAAGGGGCTTTTCAACATAAGACGACTCCAAGCAGGAACAAAGGTGACGATAGCTTCCACTACTGATCTTTAGTATGCAGACAACCTCACCCTTGTTGCTTACACAGAACATGACTTACAGGAGATCCTGAACACCTATGGAGATGTGTATGCACACTTCGGCCTTGAGGTGAATGTATGCAAGACTCGGATTCTCTTTCCGTCACACCTCCACCATCCATCCAGCTTAACGGTACTACCCTCTCTAATGTTACCCACTGTCAGTATCTCAGATCCCACCTGTCCACCACAGCAGACATCGATGAAGAGATTCAACATCAGATCAGCTGTGCATCTCGAGCCTTTGGCAGACTCCTTGCCAGTGTCTTCAGCTGTAGGGAGATGAAATTATCTACAAAGTTGCATGTATTTTGACTAATGGTTCTCTTCACCCTGCTATATGGCAGCGAGATGGGTCACATACAGGAGGCACATCAAGGCACTTGAAAACTTTCACCAACGTAGTCTACATTCCATACTTCAAGTTCGCTGGGAGACAAGAGAACAAATGCCAGTACAGTATTCTCACTGACACCAACAGTTGGAGCATCGAGGCTACCATTATCCATGAACAACTACTGTACGTTGGACAGGCCATGCTACCCACATGGACGACAGTAGACTGCCAAAGCAGCTACTTTACAGTCACTTAACGAATAGTAAATGTAACGCTGGCGGGCAACTGAAAAGGTATATGGATAGTCTTAAGATAAAGTGGCAAACCGGCCCCCTCACCTGGGAGACGATTACTCCAAACCATAACGCTAGGAGGAGCACCACACAAGACGGTGTCAATACTCTCGAGTTAGCCCGACTGCGCACTGAGGCAGACACGTGCGGAAGCCGGTAAGATGCTGCCACCGCCCCTCCCGCACTAGATGAAGCCCACCACATGTGCAACAACTGTGGATGACCCTGCCGGTCCCATATCGGCCTCTCTAGTCACCTCAGAGCTCATCAATGAAGGTGACACCCTTAATAACTCATATCATTGAATCATAGCTGGATGATCATCATACTCGATTCCCAGTGCCAGCAAAGTAGTAGTAATAGTGTGTGTGTGTCCACTGCGCTGTATGTGACATCACGGGATGTGGCTGGAATGGTGAGTCAGCCACTCCACACACACACACACACACCCATGCTCTTCATATGTCTTGGTTTATAGATTTATATTATTATCTGTATTATCTTTATTTCTAACACACATTAGAGTATTAAAATGATTTTTCCACAACTTTTATAGAATTACTGTTGACTTTTAGCAGTTGTGGTACATATCTTAATTTTCCCCTAAAAGGTTAAGTATTCACTATATGAAGATTCCCATTATGCTGTGTTTTCGCAGAATGCAACCACAGCATAAAGTGAGTGTCAGGTGTACACTAATACTAACACGTTCCTTGACAAGAGAGCGGAGTTTGAAACACTGCTGAGGGTATATTAACCCGATATAGTAGTTGTTGTAGAACTGTTGTACAAAAGCAGAAGAATTGAACCTGAGGAATGGGAGTTCAATATACTGTAGATGGATATGACTCATTTATGAACTTTTCCCAAGAAACTTGCAAGAGGAGTGAGGTTATGTATGCTAGGCAAGACCTTAGAGCCTGAAAGGTGAGGGTGCGGGGTGTGGATGTTTTCGAAGAATCAAAGTGGTGTAAAATTAAACTGAAGGGGAGAGACGTACTCACTGTTGGATGTATCTACAGATCCCCAAACTGTAGCTTATTAAACCAGAGGAACTTAAGAGCCTTAATTGACAATGTAATGGTGCTGAACTCTAGCCACCTCCTTGTCAAGGGGGACTTTAATTATAGCGACATTGACTGGAGAAAGGAATCCACGCCAAATGACATAAATAATACAGCTACTCTTTTCGTAGAAACTCTGAGAACAATTTTCTTTCTATTCCAACATGTTAAAGATCAGACTCACTACAGAGAGGAGCAAACACCCAAACCGCTGGACCTCATCATGACTAACGAGGAGAGGTATGGTGGCAAATGTGGAGCGCCTAGCCCCAGTTGGCACTAATCACCATGTAATGTTGTCCTCCAGATTTAACTGTTACTTGGCTCACGACAAAACCAGGTAAAGGTTCAAATATTACAAAGGAAATTACAACTGGATGAGATAGGGGATGAGGTATACTGTACACTGGCCTGACTTACTAAGGAATAAGAACACAGATGCTACGCTGAATATTGTAGCCAGTAAAGTTAATCATTCTATCGATAAATATAAGTAAGACCAAACCCAGTGCCTCCAGGAATACAAGGTGACGGCTACAAGTGAACCATGCGGCAGTTGGCAAAGTTAGGAAGAAAACTCAGGATTTTGAGACGTGGGTTAGGACAAATGATGAGCAGGACAGGAGGATGTATGTCAGAGCCAGGAACCAAGCAGAGTCAGAGTGTAAAAGGGCTGAAAAAGAGTTCCAGAGGCAGATTGCAAGCGAAGTCAATTCAAACCCAAAGGTGTTTTACCACTCCGCAAAGTCAAAATAAAAAATGTGAGTAGGAGTATCAGACCGGAGGCTTGAAGCTGAAGAAGCCATGAGTCCATAAAACTGCAAGGGCAAATTTTTTCGGAGTGAGAATTGAAAACTCTTGGAACAATCTGCCAGAGAGCGTTGTGACGGCACTGAGTGTGAACTCATTCAAGGCCAGACTTGACCAACACTGGAGCAGGTTTCGATATATTCAGAAGCCAGTGCATGCCCAGTATTTGCCAACAGGATCCGAAAGGTCACATAAAAATATTGTCATACAGTGACAGTACATTCAGAAATGTCACAAAAAACAGTAAATAATGTCAATTAACAACTTGAGGCATCTCACTTGTGTTGTTGAGAGTAACAAAGAGGAAGGTAAGTGTTAATAATAATCTTTACTTTTATCATTGATGCAGCAACAAGATGTATTACTCCTGGAAGTGTTCTGGAGTGAACATATCTTTAGTACTGTATCGATATAAAGAGTGTTAGTAGGAGTGTGACAAGCAATGTGTATTAACTAAAAGAACACACTAAGTTCTTCATACCCTCCATGGTGTTGGTTCATGACAAAATTAATGATCACAATTTATGTTCTTCACTCGTCATCACTATGCTAAACGATACAGGTGACTTATAGTGAGTGTCTGTATCTGCTGAGGCGTTGTAGTGACTGACTCTCCCTACAATGCTCTGCCTACTTGCGCCATCCTGACCCGCTGATTGGCTAGCTACCGTCCTCGCCATCAGCCAATCAGCGGCGCTGCTCATACCGCGGCCTGCGTTCTTGAGTAGGCAGGAATAGATAAATACCCCCCTGCCTCGCTGAGAGGAGTCAGTCAACTCTGCATTGTCCACCTGACAACACCAACTCTCCTGAAGCTCCTTAACCACACAGCAACTCTCCAGCAACATACAGCATAGTATATACAACATACATTAAGTTAAGGCAATTTTGAGTTTCCTTTCTCACCCCCATCCTGAGTGTGAGATCTCCCTTTAGTTGTGTGTGTATGTGGACCTAAAATAGAGAATATACTGTAGACTAAACTGCACCACACACACACGCTACAGTGTTAGTCAGTGGAGTCTTATTCTCAGAGAGAGCTCAGGTTCTCAACTGGCTCAGCCATGTTTATATTGTTATTATTATCCACTCTGTATCTGTATTTTTCTGGCTAAATAAGCTGTTACAATTCAATTCAATTCAATTCACCACTGGTTGACTCACTAACCATTGCCCTGGGGCACAGTCATTTTCCCACGTGATTTACAAGTTTGGAGAAGGTTCAGATACATTCAGGAGCCAGTGCATGCCCAGTACTTGCCAACAATACATAACAGGCACATTTCAGTGAAATACTCTGCTTCAGAGTTGCTTATACTGTATCAAAGCTGGTGAGGGTCATGCATTCTACTCTTCTTCAATAGAACTGTGTTGGGATATACTGTGCAGTACAGAGGTTAAAAAGCAGTCACATATAAACTTGAACTTTACCGTCAATTTTTCCATGTTTCACCATTGATGGTAAGTGGGTCACCATTCCATGGCTTCCTTAATGCAACACAAGTGCGGAATATGGCTTTGATGATGATATAAAGACAAATGTTTTACCAATAATCATAAAGAAAAAATCACTGACCTATTTCCAAAACATGTTAAGTCGGTTCTGTCATGAAGGTTAACAAGATTTTTAAATCACAAGCCATATTCAGTGCCTCATGCTCACAAATGAATGTTGAATGAAGTAGAAGGTAATCCCTCTGCTTCTCCTAAAGTTGTACAGTACAGTACTGTACTTAGGTAAATGAGATCAACCAGTGTACCACCCTAATACACTAAATTGTATTGTTTAATAAAAATAACAGTATTAAAAGCACTTATTTATAAGTACTGTACAATATGTGTCAATCTGACAATTGGAAAGGGTCAACTTGTCTACTGTACAGGCACTCTCGAGTTACGACCATCTGGCTTATGATCATCCACACTTACAATCGTCTTCCTATTATGTTCTTAAAAAAAAAAATACCGACAACCATTTGTAATATACTTACAAACCACAAAGCATGGAGCGCACTACTTTGTATGGAGTGCCGCACTAGCTCTTGGCGGTTGTCACAACCAAACAGTTCGTTGGTCAGCACATGTGTGTGCATGTGTTTGATCCCTCACTATTTAATACTTTTTTACCTCTTCCAATTTCCAAGCTGCCTGGGAAATGTAAGATAGTGAAAGGTATGCTCTAGTGCCTAAGAAACATAGGAGCTTATCTATGTAAGTGAAATATGACAATAAAACGTAATGTGAAATTGGGCGTTCGCTTCAGATAGTGTATTAATATTTTTTTTTTTATTACAGTAACATATTTTTCTAATTAATGAATAACAAATAAACAATATTTTATCATAAATGACAGTCGTTTGATGAATGAGTGTGAGACGCAGTGCGTAGGTGGGTGGGAGGCAGGAAGCTGTGGATATTGTATGGCTCTACTCTGGTTGACACTAATCCATCACTGAAATTATGATTTAGGTGATGATAATAGTGGTAGTGGTGATGATGGGGGTAGTGGTGAGGGAGGTTGTGTTAAGTGGGTGGAAGTAATGCATCTATCAATTTCTTTGGTAACACTGCACCTGCAACACTGCCAGACCCATTGAACAGCTGATATCTACCCACAAAATTGAGTGTAAATATAAATGAGCAATGTTGTATCCCTTCAACATTACATAACATAACATTTTAAAATATAGAGTGAAAAAGCAGAAAGGTGTGGGTGATTAGAGATGGAGTAGAAAGGAGTTTTGCCAAGCATTCCTCAACAGCTGACCTTTAACTCGCCACCACACAGTTGTACATCAACTTACGATCAGGTTCCAGGAACGTATCCCTGTCGTAAGTCGAGGACAGCCTGTATATATTGACATGGATTAATTTTGCATCATTCCATAACAATAACAAAATTTCTAGCTGTATAATAGGTTTAAAAAACAAAACCCCACTCTAAGTATATGGTGTGTTTGATGCAGTACATCTTCCCTTAGTGCAGCTCCCTTGAGATTTCAAAAACAGTAACTTCAATAATGTAGATCAGTAATTATCACTTAAATGTAATAAAACAGGACTAATGTCAGACCCTTTTAAGAAATATTGTATATGTATTACAAAAGAAAAGGAAAAAATTTCAGATTTAAGATAGGAAAAATGTCACACACTGTAGTGAATAATTAACAAAATTTACTTAATCCACTTAAGTGTTAATCACAGCACTGTTCAGTAATATAAACAAAATTAGTAAACTAATTAATACAGTATATACAATAAAAAATCTTAACAAAACAAAAACAGGTAGAATTATGGATAGGAATGAGCCAGCTAAGAGGTTGAAGTGAGGGAATGACAATACAGGGCTGAGCTAACATGATCCACTATTTACCCAACTCCAACATTTGTTTGAGGTCTGCAAGTGCAGAGTAATGTACTGACATGTGAGGTACAACAGTAATGATCACAAAAAGGTTTGTACATTATGCTTCTCCATTACTTGTAGATGAAGAAAAATACAGTAGAATATAAAATTCTGTAATTCTTGGGACTAAACAATGTGAGGGTATTTTAGAATTACGGGTCAAATACTGTACAGTATTGTGGATTGGACTATCATAACTTTCACAGTGAGTATTGTGTATTTAATCATGTTATTTGTTTGTCATTAATGTAAAACTATATACTAGGTAAAATATTTAATAAATACCCAGTACTTACTGAAATTATATGGTACCGTACTTTGAATGCACTAAACTATGGACTTTGGGAGTTGAGTAGTTTTAAGAAATACAGCTTTTCAATATTCTAATGTAGTACAATGAAACAATTTCAATAACAATTCAGTAGACTTTTTAGTTTACGTGTTGAATACAAAGATTTGCCCGAGGTCTTGTCATTTATATTGTTATACAGTATTTCAATCATGAAAATTAGAGTACTGATTCTGAAATCTCACTTTATAACCAACCCAGGGTTGAGCAATTCTGTAAACAGTAATATCTCCATTAGCTGGAATCCCTCAAACCCCGTACTCTCTGATAGCCGGAATTTTCCGAAAAATTCTGGCTTTGGGAATGAAAATTCCAGGGATGAGGGCTACTTTTCCAGATTTGAGAGATGATGTAATGGGCAATTTCTGGAACTTCTGAGAAAATTTTTCTATTACCCAGAAATTCCAGGGATGAGGGAATTTTTTCCGGCTTTGAGAGTCGTCTCGTTACCCGGAAATATTTCATTCCCGGAAGTGATGTGCACCAAATGTTCCGGCTAATGGAGATATCGCTATACAAGACCCAGATAAGGCTGCAAGATGCAGCCCCCAAGTCCCAAGGCCTAGCATGCTGCTTGGAATGTAATAATCAAATATATTTGAAAATTAGATATCCTTCCCTTCAATACTAGATTCATAGGATACATTTACCGGAAGTATGAAGGTTCCCCCACTTCTGGGCAAAGGCCATGATTCTTTGCTTCTGATCATAAAAATGTACACTCAGTGATCCACTTCTGTTTGGTCAGTTTCAAAAGGACAAAATTGGATCTGTCTTTATTACAGTTCATCTTCATAAGGTGGAGAGAAGAAAGCTGAGGTGCTTAATCCTGGCTCAGTTTTAAAATGTGATTTCATGATCAATCCTCCACCTACCGTTATAATCCAGTGCAAAGATTAAGAAACTCGGGGCTGTATATTTAGTTCAGCTAGGAATGGGAGACAAGAGATATCAACAAATTCCAAGTGCTATGTTCAACTTTCACTCTTAAGGGTAGTAGTGCTCTCAAATCAAGCTATACATCTGTTCTAGAGGAAGACTGATAGGAACTAACCATCAGTTGCCCATGGCCAAGCAGTCCCCAGGAATTGGGCTCAAAGCTGTTACTAAGTGGGAACCTTCATACTAAGTATCTCCTTCTTGGAGTGAAGTGAGATAGGCAAGATAATGTAATGTTTTAATTTACCCTGTACAGCGTTGATGAAGATGTCCATTTTCCTCAATCAATTTCCTGAATTCTTCTGGGAACACCCGTGCAGCTATCTCGTCCGCTGATGCCGATTCGCCAGTGATTCTAATATTATTCAGGTTGAAACTGTTGGGTCAACCTGCACTGGCTTTAAAATTCTTCTCAGAACTGGTGGATGCTTCGCCCTGAGGAACCTCAGATTTAAACTGGTCATAAAGACTCGGTGCCTTCTCCGTGAGCATGTTGCCGTCGATGGGGACACGTTTCTGATTCATATCCTCTACCCAGATGTTTAATGCCTTCTCCACCTTCACTAAAGTTACATCTCTAACCTGGCTAGTCACCTTAGCAGTAAATGAGGCACTTTTAGACACGGTTTCAAGAATTTCCTTCTCTCAAATCTTAATGGACTTCACGCTTGATTCATTGTGTCTGTACCTCTGTGCCACAGCAGCGACAGACATGCCACCCCTTATTAAGTCTAAAGCGGCCACTTTTTCTTCCAAGGTCATCTCATCACAGAGCTTTGTTTCTTTGCTGGGGGACCAGAGGTAAAGGTTGGCTTGTGTTTGGGCATTATGAACGAGTATGAGAGGTTTAAGTGCGCTAAATTGACACACACAAGAGGCAGGTGTTACTCCGACAATACCCACGTGGCAACTGAAGACAGAGAGCTTGGAGGGTGGGGTGGAGCTTTGGAGGGCTAGTGTTTGGCAAACTTAAGACCCATTTTGAAAGTTTTGAGTTTGAAATTGGAAATTGTAACCTAACCCCGGGGAAATCTGCGTATAGTTGAAATCGAGTAAGTTGCGAGTCTACTGTACATAAAATGCAATAATGGGATGAGTTACATTAAAGTACTGGCCACATACATGGTATTACCATGGGAAGACAAAATACTAAATGATGGAGGAATGAGGTAAGGAGGATCAAATTGTTGATAAAGTTTGTAAAACCATGTACAGTACAGTACCTGAAACAACAGAAATGATGACAGCATAAGTTGTATAAACCTGGTGATGCTATTTTATACAAAGAAGAAAAAAATTACACTACAGTATTTAAGATATTTGTCAATTAGGTATTTATGTCATATGGTATCTAACCATATATTTTGAAGTTAAATATATTAATTTCACTCGGATAAACTCTTATGTTAAAGAGAATACAGCATTTTTCAAGATGTTTCATGTATTCAATGGGTATAAAACCTTTTTTAACACGATAGGGCTATATAAAAATGCACAATTTTCATGAAAATATCAAGATATTTCACTGCATACAGTGAAACCAAATATTACAAGATGATTTCTCACTGTAAATAGTTATCTTTGCACTATTTACTATATCACATTCACGGAAATACAAGTTGCTTTGCATAGTTTATTTCCACATCTTTATTGTTCCATCCCTGCCTGACGTAATGACTAGTCTTTGTGGTTCATTCATAACGATCACGTCCGTAATAATATCCTTGTGACCAGGTGGTGGCTGATCTGGCCCTCTCTTGGGTGTGTCATCACTACTGGAAGGTGCAGTGCGTGGCTTGTTTGGAGTTTCTACAATTACCTCAGTCCCATCTACAACACGAGAGCTGTAGTAAAGTAATATCATTAGTTGTGAAGCTCTTTGGTTTAAAAATTAATTTTACATAAATGACTAAGCATATCAACAAAATATGCTCATTCCATTTACTGTATCCTGTATAAAAAAATAAAATAAAAATTGTTAGAAAAGTAATGTTCTATTATCTATATTAAAAAATACAATATTCTGACATTTTTATTGATCCCTATCTTGTAATTCTTTCTCCACCGTACCAAGGGAAGACCCATGTATATGTATAACTTCTTTCTAATATTATTTACTACACCTTTGCTGAGTCTTCAAGTGATCTACCAAGATGTAACACTGTTATATTCATAGCCAAAACTTTTGTTGAAAAATTTCTGCCTATTTGTTGGAGTATAATTGCCTAACTTCTGTCACTGTGAGTCTTAAAGTTAAATGTTCTCTTTCATTACATCACTATGGGAAGAAAATTCTAAACACATCTCTTTATTAAGCAAGGTGTATCCTTTGGGTCTCTTTTATAATCTTGGTCTTTCCACCATTAGCCTTGTTGACTGTACATGAGCCACAGAAGTGTGGCAACACATAAGGCTATAGATATACCTGTACTGTATATTTAGGGGTAGGTAAAAATTTCTGGGGCCCAGAAATGCATTCCCTTCTTTCTAATTCAAAATTATCTTTAATGAAGACTGATTCTCTCAAAAACATTCCCTGACATAACTGAAACTCATTTTCTACAGATGGACTCCTGTTATTTAAAAAATAAGTGACCTACACACTAACTGCCTGTACATTGTAAGGTACTGTACTAATAGAGATAACTTTTATTATTGTTTTGCTTCAGATTTGTAACCTTAAATCTAATCAAAGATACACTGTTAATTATACAAGCATATAATATATGAAGTAAGAGTTCAAAATTAAATACAGTAGGGCTGAAAGCATGGGGATAAATGGTTGAAATATGAATGGGGTTTCTTTATACAAACTGTACAAACAAATGAGGCACTCCGGTCAAGAAGTAGACAAGCGACAAAAGTGAAACTAGATGTCTCGGTAATATCTTCAAAACAGGAAAGTATGAAGACTATAAGAGCAAAATAAACGAATCTCAAGCTACTTTGTCACTTGTCTTGTTCTCGTATGGATCGTCTCATGTGGAAAATAAGTAAAAATAAACAAGAGCCATACCTGTACGATATAGGCCACTGCAAGTAGGGGTCATTGGCAGCATGGCACACAATATATGAAGACTCTGGTTCACAAAGATCCCAGTACCGTAATCTTCCATCTGTGCCGCCAGCCAGCACATACGGTCCTCCTCTGTCTCCTTGACTAACATACATGCCACAAACACTGTTGTTGCATAGCTGGAAATGAAAAAATAAATAAATATAAGAGAGGAATTAAGTCTTCATCAAAATTAAATAAAACCCTTGTATTCACTAAAAGTTTGGGGATTAAGGTTTGTGGTGTTTTAATAATATCAAAGTTATTCAATCTTTTTATCCTTCTTATTCTTATACAGACTTCTTTCTTCCCTTTTTCACTTTTCCTTAATTTTATTCTGTTCATTCTCAGCAACAATTAATTATCTCTATACTCGTGTACAAACCGATCTCATACAGTTCGACCCACTATAGTAGCCCAGATATTAGAGTGCCTTTACTACTATGTTCCTTAAACCACTCAAAAACAAGCTTATGAGGACAGCCAATGTAGCTTTGTGCTTGGTTCTAGGCTTAGGAAGGCCCTTGTCTGAATTACTCTCTGTAAAATGTTAACAGATTTTTTTGCTGTTTCTTTAGATCATATATGTTTCATTCATTGTGCTACCTGAATTTCCAGTTTGGTGAGGATATACGTTAACAAGATAGGGAAGATCAATGGTAGTGGTAAATTATTAATCCAAAGTTAATTATAATACATAAATAAGATTTACCTGTGTCATGGAGAGTGGCGGTTTTGGACTTGCCCAAAGAGTTATGTGCCTTGACTGAGTTTCCATATCCCACATTGAGATTTCATTGTTACCACTTACAGCAGACACCACCCAGGATCCTTCTTTGGGATGCATGCTTACACAACGCACACCAGCTCCTGTAATGAGGTGATTAGTTTTTTTTTTGGAGAGAGAGATATTCCCATAAAATTAAAACTCGCCTTATCCTAATAATAAAGACAGTAATTTCCAAATTGAGGATACTGGGGTGATGATAGCTTAAAACTTAAACTAGACAAAATTTATCTCACTGGACATTTAGAACCACTTACCTCTTGGATGAGTGATGGTGGATATTGGCAGCATAAATCGCAGGTCCCAACACACATGGTGACCACTACTGGTCCCTGCTACCAGCCAACTCTGTGTTCCCTCTAAAGCGTATGATGTAATAACTCCTGAAAATGGGTAACAAACAGGAATAGTGCAAGAGGAAACAGAATATAATAGCCTACATTATACATCTGCCACTAGAGAAAAGCAGTTTACTCACATGCAATTTCCAGACTCCCAGAAGATATGAAGAATATCCTTCTCTTTCTGGTATTACACATTTTAGTTCAGAGATATTCTATTTAATGCTACGGTATTATTGTAAGTGTACCCAAATAAATTTATTTTTCCAATTATCTAAAAATGCTTCAAATAAGGGATGAGTGGTCAGTGTTAAGTATAGGGCAATGAAAGGGTTAAAGACTGATCAAAATTTTTACACTGTGAATGAATAAGATATGTAGTACTGTATACAAAAAAGAAAATCCACTTGAATTTAATGGTGTACACAGATAAAGGCATTAATTGGAATTTACTGTTAATAACTGCTATCACTTCGCTTATATCCAATAGTTCTCTAACTGTATAAATGTAAGAATACATTGCACCACCCTGCATAGTATGAGTTGATTGGGAAGTTTTAGTTTTTAATGTTATCCTATACTGTACAGTATGATTGTATAAGTATAGGTTACAGTATACATAAAATGAATTAAACACATCAGATTTAATAGGAAACCTATAAACTGCATTGGCTTTATCCAAAATATGTTTACCCCACTCGAGCTTGGTGCTTGATTGCTTGTGCTGTTATATTTACTGTACTTGCTCCTGCTGTGGAATAGCAGAGTGAGAGAGGAACATTATGTGAAAAGAGTGGCTTCAGAGAGAATTATTTGCTCTAGGACAAGCAAATATTATAGTAAACCCACTTGTAGACTGTAGGAAGATATTGCTACCTCCTCTCTATATAAAGATTGGGCTAATGAAATATTTTGTCAAAGGTCTCAACAAAGAAGGATCTGGATTCCAAATCTTATTTCATAAATTCACTCAACTTAGTCAAGCTAAACTGAAGGAAGGAGTGTTTGTTGGTCCTCAAATGAAACAAATTTTCAATGATCCAACATTTGTGAATGAATTGGAAGGTCATGAAAAAGTTACTTGGTTTGCTTTAAAAGATGTCTTGAACAACTTTCTTAGTAACAAGAAGTGAAATAACTTGAAATTAATTGTTCAAAACATGATCAGAAAATATAACTTGCTGGGATGTAACAAGAGTCTTAAGCATACTTTCTAGACTCCCATCTTGATTTCTTCCCTGAGAACTTAGGAGCCATAAGCAAAGAGCCAAGAGAAAAATTAATTCCTCCAAGACATTTTAGAACTGGAAAGGAGGTCCCAGGGAAGATGGGATGATGACAGACTTGCTGGAGTCTGAAGAGGGATGGGCCCAAGTCAATTTACAAAAGAAAATCATTGAAAAGGGAGATTTTCAGCTGTAGTAAGCATAGACTGGGGCTGGTTTTACATTGTACATAATTATATGCATAAATGTGGTGAAATGCAATACTGTAAATTTAAAATATAATATCTGTTCAATTATCACATTAATAATCTTTGTATTTTTTATGCCTGTGATTGTGGAACATGTGGGTGTGATTGAAAACAATAAATACACAGCAAAAATGAGCATGCTCATTAAAACAACTTGCAAAAAGCTTAAATTTGCATGGCAGTGTTATAAAAGAAAGTTATGAACTACAGCAGCCACTACATTAAAATACGAACCTTTCCTGGGACCATTTTCCAGTTTCCAAGCAGTTCCAGGTGCTCGTAGATCCCAACCTACTATGGAGCCAAACACTGTGGCATATGTCAGTACAGACTGGGATCCTGAAAAATAAGAGAAGCAATACTCATTATTTCACAGTAGAACAGAACATAAAAACCAGCCATAAAGATTAATAATGGTAATGTTGTATTCCTAAAGGTGGGTAAGCAACTGATATACTGTACTGTTAATCCTGATCTCTGATAATCCACTCATTCAATTTATTATTATACAACTAAAGAGCAAAGTCAGAGGCGGACAGTAACACAGTAAAGTTACTTCATTAACGTCCATCTCTGTACAGTATATATGTATACTGTACATATGTTTGATAAACTACTAATTTTATTCCCTGGGGTAATGTAGTCTTAGTTGCTGAAGCCACTTCCAAAAATTCAATACCAAAATATTAATTTTATCTCTAATTTTCAAACCTCCTTCTAAATTTTTACTGACATTGATAAAGTGAAAGTGGGTCCCTTAGACATGACTGCCTGTTAGGTATACCCAGTAAAAAAAACTATCTTTACAATTCATGTGCGAAACAAAATGACACCACCACGAATGAAGGTTTCGATAAAGGCCCATGAGGCATGCTGTGATTCCCTAGTCATTTTGCAAAAAACTAATTTTATATTTCGAATCAAATAGCTAAATTGGGCCAACCTTAATAGGTAGGAAATGTCCCACAACCACACCTACCAACCCTAGCGAGACAACAGGATTGTTCAGTACCAAATTCATCAGACCCCTCCTGAAAGCTACATTTTTTTACCAAGTGTACAGTGTGGACACAGCACACTGTATACTAAGCCTTCGGTAGACAAGGAGGTAGCATGGCCAGTAGTGCACTCGATTGCATTCACTTCCCCAAGTTGGAAATTTAGGTACCCATTTACAGCTGGGTTAATTGGAGGTACCTGTGAATTAACCACCAACCCCTGGAACAGGAAGCAAGCACTGTATCTGCTTGACAGCTGCACTCCCCGTATACTGTACAGTACTGTACATCAAAAATTATTTTATGTGAATCATACACACATGTACTGCATGTGCCAATAATAACTGTTAGGGATACAAAGGACAAGATGGCAAGTCATTTGTCCGACAACGATCTGGAGGACAAGATGTGTATCATCCACATAAAAGCAACAGTCAACATTACGTGCCTCCAACAGAGAAAAGAGCACAGGTGTAAATGACAAACAATATTGGACCCAAGACCTTAAGGTACTTTTGACTACAGGGCCATGGAAACGAACTATTAAATAAGAATTACTGGTAAGCAAAGGCACAGCAGATTCTCAAAACCCAAAAGGTTGAGATATCACTCAGCAACATTTTATGATTGAAAATATCAAAAGCAATTAAAAGATCAAGTAAACTGAACAGGGAGGACTTGCTGGAAAAGGTGTTGAAATACTAAACTATAATAAATCTTGCACTACAGTTTCTCCTGAATGAAGCTTTCTGCAGGAAGGAACAAGCCAAGTATAGCACACCATAAATCTTACAAAACATATCAAAAGCTGGAGAACAATTTGCCGAATTAAAACTACCAAAATTTGGTTTTGAGTTAAAGCCAAATTAAGACCTATTCACAAAAAACTAACACATATTGTAATTTCTGTAATAAAAGGAGCAGTTGACTCATATGTGAATGATCCTAAAATTGACAAGAGGAGTCCACCAGCTGATGTAACACCACATGATAATCAAGCCTCCTGACACTCGATTACTATATAAACCATTCAACTATTTTAGCTCAACCTTTCAGGATGAAGATTGTAGTAGGGAAGGTTAGACTTAATATATGATCAGTCCCATTAGTATTGGAAAGTTTGATAGTAATTTTATAGAAATACTTACCAGTATCAAAATAGTTCATATCCACTACATAACCATCCTCTTCTGTGTTCAGCTGCCTACTATTTATTAGGCTCATTTTATCCAACCTGCAAAGGAAAAAAATAATAATAATGGTAATAGATCAACCCCATAATAATGAAAAAGAATGATAATAAAAAAAAAAGTTCGTACAACTGATCATTTCACATACAGTACGGTACAATACATAATTTAGTTATCAAGGAACTTCATCCTAAGATATCTTAGGAAAAAAAAAGTTTATACAGTACTGTACTGTACTCCACGTATTGGTGATCTTCATCTTCAAAATTATCAGAAAAATTCATTGACCAATTTTTTGGAGACTTTCAACATTGAACATTTGTCTTCATATTTCCTTCAAAATACAGTACAGAAAAAGAGATAATTAAACCAAGAGTCATCTGAAAATGGCATATCCCCACATTGGGGGGACTGTTCCCAATGTGCTGACCAACTTTTTAATATACATACTGTACTGCTACAGTACTGTACAACAAATATTTACATGTAAACTCTAATGCATGAAACATATTATCACTATAATGGAGTTGACAAATTACTACCCTTCTTTGCTGAAAATAACCAAGGGTTGTTGCTCCCACAGACAGATCTGAACACTCAAGGTGGATTACACAAGAGTGATTTATCAACATGAACCTTTCCTTATACAATAATTCCATACAAGACATCTAGTAAGAAAAAATTATCCTTTAGAGGGATTAGGTTGTGTCATGTATTACAAAGAATGGCCACAGCACTTGCCAATGCTGGACTTATATCCATTATGCCAGTCAACCAGAAATACAAACACCTATGACGGCACAATCATTATAATAACTTGATACTGTACAAGTGTTCAAATATGAAATCAGACGCACTTAACTGACAACAGGAATGAAGGAAGTGAGTGAATGTCTAACTAGGCATTTAGGTGACTGGAAATGAGGTGTTGGTCCTGTTATACAGTATCATTTTGTAAATGTCCCCAAATAAAGGTAGATTATTGAACAGCCATGATTATGCTCAGTAGCAGCCTGTCAGCTTTCTCGTGTAAGTTGGGATCTTCATACCAAATGTCTCCTTTGTTGGAATCCATTATTGAAGGAAAGGTTTGCCTAAGATATTGAATTTTTAAATGCTAATCAAATAATTAGGTCATGGTCCTGGAGCCTCACTCCTTAGACTTGTCTGGGTGTATTGAGTTACTCTATCCCAACCTAAGGTTAAAAAAATCTTAAAAGTAGGCAGATGAACTACAAATCGTTATCAGCCATGACAATATCTTTCTGGTCAGGAAGGAGAAGGATAATAATGCAGAACATCTTAACTTGTAAATTGTCAGAAAGAACAAGTGCAAAACATAAGCTAGGAAAAATAAATTTATATAATTATACTGTAGTATATATATTACAGAACCTCAAAATAATATTTATTTTCTAGTTAACACTATAACAAGTAGAACAAAGCTTGGTACACACGAGCCCATTTTGACAGCCGTCTCTGATGTAGTACAGCAAGCATGGGCAACCCGCGGCCCGAACAATGTCTTAGTGCAGCCCGTGAATTGATTGAGAAATTATATTTTATGTGGCCCTTGGTTCAGGCAAACGCAGCAAGTTTATGGTGAGTACAGCATATTTATTAAAAGAATAATATTCACACACAATTCATTACTCTTTCATCACCTAAGAGTAAGTAACTATGAAAATGGAACAGTGAAATAAGTAGGTATATACAGCATAGTCAACAACAAAATTTTTTTTTAACTTGTGAGTTTACAGGCCAAGTTCGGCGCAGTCTATTTGATGGATTAACTGCTATGTGGCAGTGGGTAATTATGGAATTAATTAAGGTTGGGTAAGTCCAAGTGGGGTCACAGGAGATGGTCACAAGGGTCAAAGGTAAAGGTCTCTTCCTTGTTGAGAGACTGTCTCTCCTCAAGTCCACTCCGTGGTTTGTTATTAATATACAGTAGAACGTCAATTTAAAGAGATTCAATCTAAGATTATCGATTTAAAGTGACACCCACAATTAAGGACAATGTGTGTGTGCATACCATCATAAAATTAAGATACTATTTTTACTACAACGTACGTATTGTGTCGGAAAAAGTGGAGTTTGGGGGTCGGCACAGTCTCTTCAATTAATCCCATATGTTCTGTTATTTCGTTTACGCGTTTCTCGCTTTACGCGGACCTCCACGGGTTCAATTGACCGCGTAAATCAAGACTATATTGTATAAATATTTTGTATGCATATATTTCAAGAGTAATTATATTAGTTAAGCTGGATTTTAGTGTTATTTGACTATTTTTTTAATGTAATTCTTTGAATAATTTCAACATACACACAAGCAACGCTGCCTCCCGTCTGGGCGGACGAGATGAAAATAATTTATCTCGCCTGTGTCAACTGGCACATTAGAAACGGGCAAAGGACATTCCCGATTCACACACGACGTCCACCAAATGGGACGGTATGACATCAGATACAGCTCCCAAAATGGGCTAGTGAGAACCGAGCTTAAGACCCTCCCCCAAAGAAGTGGAACTGGTAAGACTGTTAAACACTGAAGAAGTTTATAATATCTCATAAACCATTATTTCTCTCACACATTATGACATCTATTGCATCAAGTCATTGGGTAGCACTATTTGCATTGATGACACACATTGTGCCATTAAGCTTTAACTCATCTAGTGTCACTGCTGTTTTAAAATGGCAGAACAGCATCATCACTACAGCTTCAGTGCCGTTTATAAACACTGGAGGGAAAAAACTCATAGTTAACAAATTAAACACTCAATTTCAATAAAAATACAATGTGACTGATGAGGGGAACTTACTTAATAACATGTATTGAGCCATTGTTAGATGCAGATGCCAGACTTTGATGAGTGAGGCAGGGAGCCAATGAGGTGATCATTCCACCTTGCCTGTTATATGTTACCTTAGATCTGAAAAATGCAAGAAAAAAGCAAGTAAACTTCAAATTCTTAAGAAATACTTCAGTTTTATTAATTTGGAAATATTTCCCATCCTCTAATGACCTCCCCAACATTTTCTTTAGATACGATTAATTCCTTATCATAAGTTAGAAAATGAAAATCTAATTTTGTGTAAAATTGGGTAATAATCCTGGAGTGCCATCTTATAACTAAACCTGCAGCTGAGGAGATCTGAGTAACAACCAAACTCAGCTGGGAGGTTGAAGACCCCAGAGACCATGCACTAGGTGGCTAATAATCTAATGCTTAGTTCTACCTCCCCATTACCACTATTGTTCATAAAAAGGAGATTAAGGAGCAAAGGTGTTTATTCAAAGTGGTCGGCTGCTGACTCAACCTAGCATGCATGACCTCCACCTGTTGGCTGTTATGGGTTGGCCATGTTGAATTTCAATTCCAAGTCTAACTGTGGGCTCATTTATAAAATGGGATTTCAGGATCAAAGCTTCAGTTACAATCTGATGCCCTTCACTACACGGTTTGAATAAGTAAAAAAATAAATAAAATAGAAACTGGGAGGAAGTGGTGTTTATATATAGCTTCATTTGCTACCACAGCTTGACATGCACCTCACAAGACCAAATAATCCAGCTACATAGAAAAGGGCTTGTCTAAGAAAAACCTGACCTTTAAATCTCTTCCACAGCTCTGTCACACTGTACTGGAAATCATGGATAGTCACAGTGGATGAAGGGTTTAACCCATAACTCAATAACTCTTCCTTAAATGTAGACTATCATCTCACAAGGGTACACTTTGCTCCCAAGAACTGGAAGGTGTGTCTTGTGTCAGCACTTAACTAATAGGTCCAAGTGTAACATAACAGCTTCTGTCATGAGAACTGGTATGCTGTCCAAATCACAAATCATTAGTAAAATCTAAAGAAATACAACGCATGAATAAATAAAACTTACCGAATAACACATACAATAATGAGTTCCATTTAAATATTAATGATAAATACTGATCATGAACATAATAAAAATCCATATTGATAAAAACAAAAGCATTATTTAACTGGTAAGTAAAACATTTATTTGATATGAAATCTGCTCGTGAAACAAGATTTTCAGACACTTTACACTATACAACATGAGAAATTATCTTACCTATTGATGGAGAATTTTCTCTCAATACGGTTACAATCCCACACCTTGATTGTGCCATCATTGGAACAGCTGGCATATATAGAGGTATCACCAATGGGCACAAGTCTGGGAAAAACATGGCACAGGATAAAAATTTATTCATGACAGTCAAACTCTAAATGTTTTTCAAGAGCAGAAGTCTGACAAAAAGAGTGAGGGGAAAAAATAAACAGAAGATGAAAAATATGTACCGGTATCTGATAATTCTGTAAAGCAAATGCTGCCATAAGAGTGGAAAACAGTTCAAATGATACAAAGAGAAGAATAAGGTAATGAAGATTTCAAAGTAACTGTACAGGAGACTACAGTATATAAAAATACAGTTATTCAAACATGAAGCCAGAAACCAAACTTTCCTTCAACTAGTAACAATAACAATTATTGTCTGTTGACAATACACTGTAAATCTCATTTGTAGTGTAAAAATGTTACATTCCAGGTATAAATTTAACTGTTATGGTGAGTTATTTATTAAAATATGATTGATTACTTACTAAAGAATAAATTGAATATCTGTTAATAACAATAAATAATGGCAACAACAACTATTTTACCAAGGTATGGTATGAGCTTTTCTACAATTCATGTAGTTGAGCTAAAGGGGAAGTTTGATACTGTACTGATATCCATTTCTCTGACATCTCTCACAATATGAAACAACTGCATATGCCCTCAGGATCAACCACTATGTCAGCCAAGATTAATCTGTATCCCTGTTGATATTGTGATCCTCCCCCCCCCCCTACCCTGTCACCACCAAATGAGGGAAATATGGAGACCAGAAAATGGGCACAGCTCTAGTGACCTGGTTGCCATGAGACATGTTGAGGCAAAGTTCTACAGCTGGAAACCCCTTCTAATACTAACCCATATGATGAGAACAGCTGGCAAGGCAGGTTCTCAATTTCCTGGGTTTATCAAAGAATATCCGCCTACTTGTTTACCGCATATTTCCTGGGCGGGAAAGTTAATACCCAACTTTATTACTGGACAACAACCTTCACAAAATAGCAAGATACCCAGAGCTCCAAAAGAATTTAAAAATGGATCAAAGAAGACTCCATATCACAACCAAGCTTAAAACCAACCCACATTTCAATAAGACCAGTAAACAAAGTCACCCTTGAAAATCCAAACATGAAATTTATAAACTGAAGGTAAGGCTGGAGAGTTATCTTTCTCTTCAACTGCAAGCTCAATATGAGGCTCCAAACAAAATTAATCAGGAAAAAACAACCAATCAAAACTAGGATGAAGTGGGTTACATATATCTGACAGCCTGTTATGATCAATGTGGATACAGTACAACAAACAATTAAACCTTCTGTGTATAAGGAGAAAGAGAGATTAAAACATTAACAGTATCTGGCATTAAAGGGAGGCAGAACTCAAAGACACAATGTCCCCCTAGTAGTTGTTCTACATTACAAGAGCTGCCTGGTTTAAGGACAATAGCCATAAGACATGTACTGTACACTCTCAACAAAAACTTCTCCAACACCTGGGCACGATGGTTGAGAGAATAAGCAGAATGGGGCTTGTCATCTTGGAGTGGTTTCAGATTCTTCATTATTTTTTTAGATTGCATAGTGCTTATAGCATTTGAAAAATTTTTGGTGAGAGAGTACATCTAAAAATCAAAATAACAATGCAATCTGCTGGTTGAGGTAAGTATAGAGATAAGAGTGTTATAAGTGATAAATTAATGGTAATAATATGGTGGTGGCATATAAATAAAAACAAATATGGCAGTCAGAGGCTGCACTAATAAAAGATGGAAAAGGATGAAAATTAAATAGGTAAACCACACAAAAAGGAAACAGTATTAATACTAAAGATTCTCATCTTCATAACAACGTCTGATCAATTCTCACTTATTAACAGCTCCTCGGTGTTCATGTAAGTGAGCCACCAGATGACCTCTTGGTCTCCACCCAGGAGGAGGTAGTCGGGTATCCCATGCAAGTGTTTCTAGAGCACGGCGTTTCTTGACACACACTAAATGTTCTTCACGCTTCATTCCCACAAGGCTTTCCAGCTCCAGTTTGCAACTTGATACACATTCTGTACAAATTATCAAACACAACTATATATATATATATATATATATATATATATATATATATATATAATTCAAGGTGACCTGAGTCAAGAGCAAAGACATTAAATTTTACGGTTGTAATACTGTAGCTGTCCTGCTTTAGTACTCCCATCTAGGATATGACCCTAAATATCTACTTGGTTTAACTCTGTTACTCCATACAACTTACCCCCATGAGTTCATTCAAAGCTATGTCCTCTGCTCATTCACACACACATCTGGTACATTACATCCTTCCATCTCCAACCATTCACCTCTGAGTATACATATTCTTTATGAACCTTCATTTCCCATTCTCTCAATGAACTTACCACCAGAGTAAAGCCTGCTTTGGTCTCTTCCCACACTTCTTTCATTTCAAATTTCCTTCTAACAATTACATTTCTTTTTCTCTAAATCCTGGTCACCTCAGATTTTGCTCTCAAGCACATAATTTGCTCTTTCCTATTACCATCAGAGTACATCCATACTTAACTTCCACAAAGTAATGTTGACATAACCATTCTCCAATACACACCCATGACATTTACAGTGAGATCTCTAGCTACAAGCATATATGATAAACCTAGAGGAACAGCTAGATGTTCAAGTACTGTTCATGAAGAGAAAGAAGTTGAACTTCCTGGCCAGCCTTTACATCAAATCTATAGTTATATATTGTACTAGTATGAGGAAGTCTACTTATGTGATAATGACACAGAACGGCAACAAAGATTTACTGAACGACCATTAGAAAATGATGGACCTTATTACTGAAATTCTATATGAAAATAGTCACTATAGTTCTGATGCACTGGTGACAGTCCTCCACAATGACTAGGAATCAAATCTGTGACCCTTTACTCTTTTTTTTATGCACAATTACACAATACTGTATATACACTATACAGTATCAGAAACCGTCTTAAAACAAAAAGTAGAGAGTGGTGGTCATCGCTCAGTGAGTTGGCACCACACTGAGATCAGTATAGTTCTTAATTCTTTTACAGCACATTCTCCTGCCTACAAACTCTACATTACTTACTAATAACTCCTTTATTTTCCCCTTCTCCTGGAGGTACCTTAGTGCTGGGGGTTGCAGATGTGTGAGCACCTGACTCTGGCTCAGTTGGAGAAACAGATCTGTAAAAAATACCCATTACAATTTGTCACTATATTTGGTGTGGGAATGGAGGGAAGGATAAGAGGGAGGAGGAGGAGTAGGGAGGGATGCTGTGGAAAAGAAAGGAAGGTACATTTAAAAACAAAACAGGTTAATACTCTAAACCTGTAATCCCGGAAGTGTATAGTAAATGACATGTTAAGGGAGTATATACCTTAAATCATTCTGAATGTGAGAAACATCACTGAAGGTGTAAGATATTATTTAATTAACTCCATTTGTAACACAACTTGCATACTCTTAAGCCAAAGCACATACAGTATAAATAAACAAACAACTTAATGCTTCTTCAGTCTGGCAGTAAGAGAAAAACAGTCCAGTGGAACTATTGTACGATACTATAAATGTTCTTTAAGGGAACTTTACCTGTTGTCGTTTGTTTTGTTTGTCGAGACGCGATCTTCTGCCGTCCCAAACATTGCTTGCCATTCCTCATTCATCGTCAAGCTTGGAGACTGTATCATCCCCTTCTGTGAGCTGAAGGACACATAAGATACAACACTGAGTAGCTGAGGGAAAGAAGTTGATAAATGCAATAAGGTACGGTATATAGGAAAGAGAGAGAGAACTGTATCAAAGGAGGCAGAGATGGGAATGTACAGCCCCCAAAAAAGTATTGTTAGATTTTCCGTCGCTATAATTTGAAACACTAGTTGGTATGCCTGCTCACCATATCAGCAACAGTTAGAGATGGGGGTAGGATTTGGAGGGGGGGTCGTCCTTGTATGGCACACTAGATACTTCAATATAACAAGAAACCCATTAAGCTATATTAATGCATATACAGTATAGTGCAGATTAGAAGCAAGGTATATGTAAACAATCCCCCGACTGATGATTACAATAACACTGAAATACACATTAAATGGAAATGTTTCGGAACATCATAACCGAGACAAACGTCAAAACGGACACGTCACCATTACGTCGTTACAGTAACAGAGTTTCATTCATGAGGAGTTTTACAAAATACTTACTCATGTACTCAAGTTATTTATGAAGAGTGAACAAGCAAATATGTGCTTGTGAGAAGAATTCACACACAAAATTAGGAGCATTATTACACAGTCTACAGCATTTTTAAGCCAAGACAACAAGAGTGAGAAAACCAGTACAATACAGTACTAGAAAAAATGGGAAAACTGTTAGCTGTTTGAGTTAAAGAACCAGAAATCAAAAGTTAGTAGAGTACAGTAAAGCTAAACTCTACCATCATTTAAATGGTCAGTCAATAAATTTTAAAATATTTAGTTATTAAATTAGTGTTACAGCATAAAATCATCACCAAACTAAAGGTTTTGGCTGTGACTGGGTGTGTAATTACTATTGTATCCATTGACAAGGAAACTTATCTTCATTTAAACTGAATTCCTTTATACTATCCCAGGATTTTCTCAAAACACATCCCTTCATAATAATGAGACACCTGTATATAAGAGCAATAGGAGTATCCAACTGAGGACCAATCAGGGTTTGCTGTGGTGGTACGGACTGAGAGAATGGAGAATAAAACTTTTGTTAAAAAGTATTTAAATGTGTGGCACTAGAAAGGTGCAGATAAAAGGATGGGGTGAGGATGAATTGAATAGGAGTATTCTACTGGAAGAATCCCTGAGGAAGACCACCAAGAAGCAGTCAATATCAACATTATGCACAGCTGGAAAGACAAACTTTCCAAGAAATTCACCTTAAAACTCCATAAAAGTAAAGATTGTGAATTGCAAGAAAGAGTCAACTAACTTTAAAAAAGATGAAATAGTAATATACTGTACTTAACAAATGTAGGACTTCTCACTACCAACATAACTCTGACAGACTCTTGACATAAGTAGATCACACTTAGTCTGTGAATTTTAAATTTGTGATATAAAATCTGTATAATCTGTACCAACTTTGGCTTCTCACAGTATGGTAATGAAAATACCTAAATATATTCTGTAAAATAAATGGTGATGTTTCTGTATGGTTAACTCCACACAAGTTAAAGATGAACTTACAGACTGAGAGATGAAATATCAATAGACCCATCCTCTGGCATCAAATCACAGTAGTGGGTAGGTACAGTTTTCTTCAGGTCTTCAATGTTTATCTGTAATATTACATCATTGTCACAATATATCCATGAATGATAATACCTGGTACACTTCTATTACCCCTTTTACAGACTCCTTCCTCATATAATGCACTGAAAAGTGATACTGATATAGGTACCACCATGCAATTCTTTTTTTAAGTACTGTACAATGAAATTTGAATGAAGAAGGAATGCCAAGGATTTGTGTGGGGAATTATTGAGAGGAAATACAGTACCTGCACTACAGTACCAGTACTATACAGTAGTTGGTTTCAGTGTAATCTGTGGATGGGCATGACATTCAAGAGACCCTCGTACATGCGTGAATCTATTTTGAATCACTGATGAGATGAATTATTATCAACTGTCAACTAGTGTTGTTGGAGTTATTAGTACTACAATATACAGTATGTTTAGAATCAGCAAGAATTTTGTTTTTGTTTACAGACAAAAAGATATGACACTATAAATAAGTCTTAGTACTTACTAATCCCATAAGTTGCTGCTGATGCTGTGAGCCATTTCGAGTGGCCTCTGTTGCCTTCTTCTGCCGCTGAAGTCGGGTGAGGTGTTCCCGCATTAATAATAACTGATCAACACTTTCTTCTGTCAATCCACCGCCCACTAAACGTCGTAACAACTGTACAAAAACCCATATGACAATTATACAGTTGTAAAGGTTGAAAGGCATATCATAATTAATGAAACCATTTCAGTGAAGTAGAGAATATTTTCAAGTCTATTCTAACTATGGTTACTTAATATCAGTCACTAAGTGGCAAATTTAAATATACAGAATATATCACTTTTTTGAACTCATGATGTATCAATATGAAAATAAACTCCTTCAATTCCATGCTTAAAATATCATCCAGATATTCAGTTTAAAATCTGACACAGATCAGGTGACTCATGTACTAGGTACAGTACTGTGCTTGACAAACCACTAAGGGTGCCATCATCTTCCATTCTTTCAACTGAAGAAAGTGATGCAAGTACACAACCCCAGGTCAGTTGTGCTAATCTGATACTATGGCAAGCAGCAGTGCCAAATTATTGTGCTACTGCATTCCATGAGTTCACAATAAAATCCAACAAGATACTCACAGAAGGTAGACTCATGAAAATGATATACTATTCAGTACAAAACTGTGGGATTTTCACAACATTCCAGTGTTACACTATTTCCCAATAAATAATCTATTGACTCGTAAAACATCTTCATGTTTAACTTGGCATTTTGGTGAGCATGTGACGCTACATAAGGGCTGCAATACAGAAGTACAGTACTATATAGCATAAAAATTGTAGTATTGGATGGTCTACAGCACATGGTTCCTGGGGCCTATCTTTTATTTTCACATTATTTAATGGATTCATAACTCATTTAAAAAAAAAAAAATCTAATTCATTACAGGTATCCCTCCTGATACAAACCTTCTAGATATGAAAATTTACTTACAGGTACTGTATATGAATTTCATAAACTGACACCACTCTTTCGAGATACGAAAACTTCCCCCATTTACACAAATTTGGGTCCGGGCAAAAATTCTAAAAAGCCTGCTGGGAGTCAGCCAGGAGAGATGGTGGTGATGAGCCCAGACTGTCCTCCCATAAGGTGATGTATCAAACTGTACAGTATTTTCTTAATTTTTTCATGTGTAGGTAATAAGGGTACAGATTGTGGAAAAGGCAGAGAGAGCGGGTGGTGGGAATATTTTGGGGGGTAAATTAAATATTTTTTTGTATCATAAAATATACCGGGTAATAATAATAATAATAATAATAATAATATACTATATAATAATAATAATAATAATAAAAGAACCATAAAGAAATACAAAAAAGAAGAAAAAAAGATCAAGAGTGAGAAATGAAATACTACAGTAAGTACAGTGTGTTGTGTTGTCAAAGTAAGAGAAACAATTGAAACCCAGTAAATGTGTGTAAATGAGGCAGAAAGTCAGATCTGCAACCTAGGACTTGGTCACAATTTTTGTGATGCCATATGGCAGCAGGGTCTACCATTAGACAACACATTATGCTTCCAATATCTTCCCAGGTAGTAGTACCTCCCTGTTTGGTAGCTGCCTACTACCTTATTACTAAAGAAGCCCGTTTTCCTGCAACGTGCGCCGGGATTCAGCCATCGCAGCCATCTTGGTGAGAGATGCATAGACTGCTCACCCATAAGGTAATGTACCAAAGTTAAACAGTATTTCTTTTCATGTATTAGTTAGTAAATTAGAATAGTTGTGTACTATTTATCATTAGTTAGGTAGGTTTTGTTCTTGTCTGTGATCCTATTTTGTCTTTTGGGGTATTTTTGTCATTGGGGAACCGACCCATATTTTTTCCATATGTTTATTTATGATATGTAAATTCACCAAACAAATTATTATTTTTATTTTTAACCTAACCCATTTGCATCTCTAGGGATACCTGTACAGTATACAGTATGTAGCAAAAAAAGAAAGTAACTGACTGACCTGTGCATACAGTATATCACCATGGGTTTCTATATTGATTTATAAACACTGAGTGACTCTTATACAGACTTAATGACTAAAAAATGGTTAAGTTAAAGACTAGGACTGTTATTAACCTGCTTTAAACAGATTACCCTGACAAAGAAACATTCAAATGCATGTTCTTTCAATACTCCTTTTATACTTAACTCATCTCCCAAAAAGAAAAAACTTACATTCCTAGTTGGATGGTCAAGGTGAGAGAGGGTTGAGGGAAGCTGTGCTAGAGGAACATTTTGCTGTTGAGCTTCCTGAAGGAGGGAGAGTATTTGACCAACATCCACACTCTTCACCAAGGCATCATACACCTCTCGTGAGATAGGCGGCCGTAGACACGACAGAACACAAACCTGAAGAGAAAAGAATTACTGTCTGTAAAGCTATATCATTAATAAGATACAGTAAACCATTAAACATCGCGGGTTTGAACATCGCGTCCCTCGCCCCTCCGCAGATTACATTACGGGTTGCTTGGGGAGGGAGGTTGTGTGTCGCGTGTGACAACTTCCACTACTGGCCGCGAGGGGTCTCTGTGGTGACCTGGGAGAGTTCCATGCTTCCTTGCTCTCACTGTTACCCGCACTGCCAGCCCGCAAAGAGCTTTGTTGCTTATGTATTCATACCGCCTTTCCCTACTCTCTTACCACACCTGCTGGAGGCTCTATTGGCACGCTTGCCAATGTAAGGAAGGTGCTGACTATGGTGGAGAAAGTGGAGTTATTTGATAAGTTGAAGAGTGGTATGAGCTATGCTGCCCATGGTCACCATTACGGCATGAACAAGTCAAGCATTCGCTACATAAAAAAGAAAAAAAATAAGATTCTCGAGTGCGTTGCCCTGAGTGCTACGAGTGCTGCCAGCAAGACACTGCATCTTAGAGACCCTGTTATAAGTTAGATGGAGAAAGCTGTCGGTATTTGGACTGAAGGTGTGAACCGCCGTACCTTAAGTGTTGACTCTTAATTATCAGGGACAAAGCTATGACTCTAGAAATGTTTTTCAAGTGATAGTGCTGCAGATGTTAGTGTAAGTGGTGACAGTGCTGCAGGTGTTAGTGCAAGTGGTGAAAGTGCTGCAAGTATTAGTGTATGTGGTGACAGTGCCGCAGATGAATGTGAATTTGGTGACAGTGCTGCAGGTGTTACTGTAAGTGGTGGTGCTACCTAGAGGTGACAGTCAAGAGCAAAAGAAGCTATCCTTTACAGATGGTAAAGGATTGTTTGAAAACTTTAAGAAGAGATACAGTCTGCATAACATCAAGGTTACTGGAGAAGCTGTTGCCACAGTTCATGATGCTGCTAAGGCTTACCCAGCTCAGTTTAAAGCTCACATTGAAGAGAAGGGGTACAAGCCTGAACAGGTGTTCAATAACAATGCCAAAAGGAATGTTCTTCTCCATAGAGGAGAAATGTGCACCTGGTTTTAAGGTCGCCAAAGACCATGTTTCATTTCTCCTCTGTGGTAATGTTGCTGGCCATTTTATAAAACCAATTCTTGTTTACTGTTTGAAGAGACCCCATGCACTTGGGTAAAGACACATCTCTTACCTGTCTTTTACAGCCACAACAAAAGGGCCTGGATGACCCTGCTTATTCACAGACTGGTTCCACAACTGTTTTGCCAGTGAAGTGGAAAAGTATTTGCTAAAGAAGGGTTTAGAGATCAAAGTGTTGCTAACAACTGACAACTGCCCTGGTCACCCTGATTCTCTACACTCTGCAAATCCCAATATTTAGGTAATTTTCTTACCTAAAACACAACTTCTCTTATTCAGCCTCTTGAACAAGGCGTAATCTCTGTTTTCAAGGCCAAATACATGACCCACACTTTCTCATGACAATATACGATTAAAGAGAAATGTTAAAAATGAGAAACTGATCTTAAGAGCAGAAGCAAGTGAATGGTCTTATACATGTCAGTCCACTATCTACATAAGTTCCACCAAATCATATACAGTACAGTCCTGGCTTATAAATACCCAGACCCAAGGAGGAGATGTACCAACCCTATCTCAACCTATTAGTTATATGTGATGCCAAGTTCACATGGCAGGCATCTTGGGTTGACATGAATTTCATAATGTAATATGCAAACCTAGAGCACATACTCATGTGCACCTTTCCAATCAAAATCAAACAGACAAACAAATACAGAAAGAACTAAAATAAACATACTACATTCATTATATAGAAACAATAAAATATCAACAACAGGAAATAATATATATATAGTACAGTACTCACTTCTCGGTGCAGCTGGAGGAGAGGCTTGACTAAGAATGGCTGTACTCTGGCTACAATGGCTGTTTGTACATCCACCAGGGGCAGCAGTCTGGCTACTACACTCAGCAGTCCAACCACTGCCTGTGGGGGTTAACAAAAGCAGGGTCAATCAATAGTCCACACTCATAAGCAGGTTGAGTTATTTGTCTTGGTTTAATCAGATGTTCAAATTGTGTGGCACAAGAACCTGAACTAAAATCCCATTTGATCCATTACTTTCATTATTAACCATTGCTTAACATCACAGTATTTACAATATTTATTTATGTATGGGTTTTGTAGCTATGGACAGGGTTGTAACTAAAGTATTTTTTTTTACAGTACCATATTTACATTGTGTGTTATATATAGGATACCACTATTGTTTTGTATAGGCTGGGTTGTGCTTTAACCTAACCTCAATTATGGAATTAACAATGATGTGACTTACAAACAGGGTTCAGGAATGTAACTCAATTGTAATGTGATGACTGCTTGTAGAGTACACACCTGAACATTATACCCATGCTGCCTCTGACAACCTACAGATTCAGTAGTAATATTGAAGGAAATTTTCTGAAGAATATAAATGCATTTTCACCCCATGAAAAGCCCCAAAAATAGGAAGGATAAGTCTTTCTTAATGTCATTTTTGTGATATTTTTTTCCATGAATGAAATGAAATCCATTCCAGTGGAAAAACTGGAGGTAATGCATTGTAGCATAAAGCCATTCATATCTTTGGGATGACACTCACACAGTAACTACCTACTACACCAACTACAGATAATAAAACAAAATCTGATTTATCAAGAAAAAATATCTTAATCAGGCTTTGTTCATTAATCTAATGTTTTAGTACTTATGAAAGGCTAAATGTTACATCAGTGATAGGCGTTATGTAAGAAATTGGTAGTAAGTCAGGTACAGTAGCTATGAAATAAAAAAATAAATAAATAAGTCAGGAAATAACCAGAAGTTACAGTATTATGTTACATGCTGCAGTGCTCTTTTTTCTTCCCCACAATGGTCTAATACGGACTGAACATACTTGTCGTATCCACAGGTTTGGGTGTATGAGTAGTGGTGCTGTGTGAGCCAGAAGATCACACTGGAGATGGGTGGGGAATAGACCTAACTCAGTCAATGATGTCATGGCCTCTATTGCTGCTACAACCACAGATTCCTCAGCATCACTCAGTCCCTGTAAAATACATTAGTTTAACCGATGATCTGTCAAAAATAAGCTTCATTTACTCCAAAACTGAGCAGATTCTTACAATTTGAAAATGTGGTAATTTTTGTGTGTCTGTCACAAGATAATATATTATATTTATGAGAATAAGAAAATGCAGGAAAATATGGTTACACACCTGCAGCAACAGTGGCTTCAGTATGTCTGCACAATGACATCCAATATATGCTGCTACTCCTACAATACTGGAGAAGAATGACAGTCGGAGGTGGCGGTCATGTTTGTCATTCAAGAAAGTTATCATATGAGATAACAGCACATCATTTGCTGTAAGATATCAAATAAGTCATAAAATAAAATATCAAATAATGTTATAAATAGCAGCTCAGATCACCCACACCACTTTCCCCTCCCTCACTCTGCATGAAGAAATAATTATTCCCTTTCTGTTTTTGACCTGATGATTATTATTTCTATTATTTTTATTTTGTTTCAAATGAACTACAGTGTATGTATGTAATACTAAAAAAAAATAAATAAAATTATGTAGTATATCTACCTGAAATTATGAGTTGAAAAATAACCATATAGGTCATAGCTCACACAAAGAAATCTTTATTTCTTTATGTTTTTGACCCTATGATATATTTTTTGGCACATTCTGTATGAGAGATTGTGACTGCATATAATAGAGTATAAAAAAATAAAAACTAAGACAATTACATACTGGTACACCTGTATATCTACCCGAAATTATGAGTTCAAAAATAACCATAACATATCACACAGTTCAGCCTCACCCACTCTGAGTGCTAACTCTGGCGTCCTTCTCTCTCTCACACTGGTTCCGTGAACACTTTCCAGGTGTTCACGCTGATAAAGTTTTTATCTACCGAGGAAATTTACCACAATCATGGCCCCTAAGAGGAAAATCAGCGGCAGTACTCGCGATATTAAGAGAGAAAAAGAAAAGAGTGCATATTGTGATAACTTTTGAAGAAAAAGATAAGATATTGGACAAACGGAAATTTGCACTTACGCAGGAGTCCCCGGAATATAACTCTCACATACACTGAGACTTTACTGCATTTCAATTCCCACTCGGCTGAGTGGCTCATTCGCCAAACGCACTACCTCCCCGTAATGTTTGTCTTAAATGGATGTGGTATTTACACTTGATTCTACTCTTAACTAAATGGTCATCATTATCTGTTGCTTTATATGTTTGGTGTCATTTGTCTTGATATAATTAGTGATAATACAGTAGAAGAAGTAGTGGATTTACACCGAATGTGTTCTCCAAAAGCATGAATTTGGTTGTGACATTGATGGTAAATATTCTTTATTTCAAACGTTTCTCCACTCATATCTTGAAAGTTAATGTTTTCAAGCATTTACTTCTTTACATACATTAAATTTGGCATTAAAGTGATCCATAACTGGGCATCTTTAACAGTTATATATGAATTTATTTGCGATACATCAATATTAATCAAACATTGTGTGAACCAATGAGCTGCAAGAGGTGTTGCACCATCGGCTAAAAAAAAAAAAACGACTATGGACACCCTTCGTTCCACCACAATGCCAGCCTTAAACAAGGAGGCCTATGTGGTGGAAGCCCTCTTCAACTTGTGGGGATGAGGGGAGAAAGCCGGAAGTTTGGTTTGAGTTGGTCCTTAACACATCTTGCCATGGTGTTGGTGATTGTTGCCACATTGTTCATAAAAAACAATTCTGTTGTCCCTACATGCTTCCCTTTCATGCAGGACAAAATGAGGTACCAAATTCTCTTTATGTCAAGACCCAAATAATGCCTTCTGTGCCATGCACACATGGCTGTGCCAAATTTGCCACTGGGTAAAATATATGGAGTCCTAAGTTACACTTAGCATTAATGTGGAGGATTCAAAAAGTTTAAGTCTATTTCTCTTTACAATGAAATTTTCTTGAGGACCAAAGTCATCAGCCCAGGTCATACATGTGAGGTTAAATGTAGTACCATTTAGGTTAGGAGTCCACACACCACCAGCTGGGGCTCTACCATATATGAATGCTTCACCACAAAACACAGTTACATTATCTTTTAATATGTTTTATGGTTTGTATTTTTTATTTCTTGAGTGGTCTTCCAAAGTAACTTTTTTTTTTTTACATACGTACAGTATCGAATACCTTTCCAGTTAGTGGCATTCAGATAAGATTTTGTGGTGCACCTTTGTAGCAGGTACTGTACAATATTTAATATAACTAATCTTACAACAAAAATAGTAATCAAAAGAAAATTTACCTTTCTGTTTACCAAAGAACACACACAGTTTGGTGACAGTCTTCTCCATGAGTGTCCTTTTGACTACATTTGAAGGATCGGAGAACATTGTTGCCACCTTCTGCTGAATGACTTCCTGTAAAGTTGCCAGTTCTGTTTCATAGCTGTAGGAGGTCATCATTCCCTGCAGTTGACTGTATTCAAGAAACCTATGGAGAGATTGAGAATTTTCTTATATACTGTATTTTGGATTGAATTATTTTCTTGTCATATATCAATCTTTTAAAAATATAGCTGTAGAAAGAATTATCACAAGCTTAGGGTTGCATTTCAGTAACCAGACTCTACAGAGATGTCGTAACTGATCATGAGTACTGTACCTGCCCTACAAGATCTGTCACCCTTCTGGGTAGAAACCACTGTCAGACTTACCTTAGCCCAGGGGTGTCAAAAATACTGACTGAAGGCCATATAACACACTATACAAATATGGGCAAGGAATAGAGAAAACAGAGATATATATGATAGTAACCTTAAAGCTGTCTCTGCAATAGTTGCAATATTTTCTGCATATGCTTGCCGTACAATAGCAGCCTCATCCTGGGTGATCTGTTGACAGACATAACTACTATAGCTGTAAGTCATGTTACAAGTAAGTATGAAATAATGTTTTGTAATTAGTTTCCATCAACAAATTACCAACTTTACTTTATTTCTAACTAAATGTGAAGGAATGGTACTGTAAATCTGCTTACTTAAATTTGGCTACCAGTTTACTGTACAGTAAAGATAACAAGATCTGTTGGAGAGAAGCAAGATGCATATGCTTGACAGCAAGGAGTCTGTTATTGTGGATTTTGGTTCAGCCAAACACATTAGAAAGCCCAAGTAAACTGACTGCTAGAAATGTGAGGTTAAGAATGAGATGCTGGAGAAGGTTAGGAAATTCAAATAACTGGGAATTTGTATATGTATTATGTTTGGTTAAGTTGGATGACAGTCAGTCAAAGTGATTACAAGAAGTTCCTGAACATTTCAGGGATCAAGTGAAATGCTTTGTTATATATTTTACTTATAACCTGTATATAAAACCAACTAACATCTACTAATGGGAAAGGAACCTGGAACTCTACAAGAGACAAGATTGATACCATTAAGATACCCAGTGCTAAAGGAACTGGAAAATTTGAATATGAATTGAAAACCTATCACAGTAACATACATAGTACAGTATCAGAGAAATTGAAAACATTGAGTTCACACATTTCAAGGATTTGTGTTTATGGACTTGTGGGGATTGATTATGAACACGTACTTTGTAGCTAAGACTGATGATCAAAATGCACACCAATACCGGTACAACACAGTCAAAGCTTTCAGACTTTATTGGTAAGTGTTGCATCCATCAGGTCTCTTTGAGAAACCTGGATATGATGGGAGAACATAAATTAATTTTGAGGTTACTCTCAGTCATGTGTCCAGGTCCTGGGACCCTGGGGTTTTGAATCTGTGGGCTTGTTTACTATACCTGAGTAGCCCAGAATCCTGGCATATGATAATACAATCTTAAGTCCTGTACACTTAAATTGAGATTATTTCCAGTTTCAAGGTAAGGACAAATATAAAAAGAAAAACAATTATTGAATAATTAAAAAGACAGTTTCTGTTAGTCAGTTAGTAAAAACAATATACTGTATATTATCCTATCCTCGGTTAATTGTGAAAGATCTTAAAAATTCTCAACAAAACTATAAAAACAATGATATTCTACTACCTACTCACATCAGAAAGATTAGGAAGGATGTACTCTGGAAAGATATTAGCATCAGATCTTGGTACACTGGAGACCAGGGTGAGGCAGTGAGTGAGCATGTGAAGTGCACAAACTCGGACACGTGGCTCGCCATCATGAAGCAGATGAAACTGAAAATACCATTAACCACAATCGATGCTAAAACTTTTTGCTTTAGGTATGTTTTAAATGTTTTCTAGAATCATAATTTTAGAATAAAGCTAACAAATAATGCCTGATAAAGAAACTCCTCACATAGAGTTCAAGTACAGACACTTATATAAATTTCATAATGTTACGTCTACACAAACCCATGAAGCAGCTTTTAACTAAAATAGAGGCTCACACTCAAGTTCATATAGTAATTTGAGAAACCTTTAAATATACAGTAATCTCGTGTTTGTGGTGCAGGTCATCATTCAAAGGTTCATAATAACATCTTAAAGGGTTACAATACTACTCATCAATACAGGTTTAAGTCAGATTCTCTTAAAAGTTTCTCATGAGATACGTTTCCTTCCTGGGTTTCTTTTTAGTTTTCTGTACCCAGACATCCAATATGTTATCTGTGCTTCTGTTCTTAAAACCACCCACTCCTGCTTTATTTATATTTGTCTATTTTCTACAGACAATGTTTAAGGTTCATTAACATTATGAAAGGTTAAAAAATTAAGAGTCTTGTATGTGATGGTGGTTTTAAACTGTACAAGAACACTTACTATGTAAGGCAGTATCCGATCCAGAATTATCTCATCTGGAACATACTGAGATACTTTTCCCAAAAGTTCCAGGGCATCCAGTTTAGATGATGTGAAATGAAGAGCCCTGAAAAAAAAAATAGACATCGAAATTAAAAGAATAATACACACCACAAAGATTAAAGAGGACATCAGGAAGTCACATCTATGACTTAAAAATAATCTTAACCTTGGAACAAGATATCTAACACTGATTTTGTCTGTCCACATACAACCACTGTAGCAGCTGGAAGCAGCATAAACATCTTAGTGATTAAAATATCACATTCCTACACCACTATGGGTGAAGCACAACAAAATCTAGTCATCATTACTGAACAATCCATGGTAAAGAGGGTGAAGCTCAAACTTAGCTGGAAGCTGCTGAGAAAAACCAGTTGTCCCCCTCTGAACATCCATGTACACTGTAGGAGTTAACTTGTGGTTAATTCCTCTGAAGGATTCTGATAGGCCCTATGATTGGTTATAATGTGATAGGCCCTATGATTGGTTATAATGTGATAGGCCCTATGATTGGTTATAATGTGATAGGCCCTATGATTGGTTATAATGTGATAGGCCCTATGATTGGTTATAATGGATCACAGAAAAATCCATACACAGGGAACATTCTACACAGACCTGAGTTACCCTTAGAAATGTCTATTATCATTCAGTGATAAACGAGGTCCAATGATATCTGGCCATCAACCCCAATTCTTACTTGAGGGGGTTTCCATACCATGTCAAGAAAATTTTTCAAAAGAGATAAGGGAAAAAGTACACTACCTGAGTGAGGATGTAATTAGAGAAGCAATAATGATGAGCGTTTCACACTTCCTTTCTGGCTTCTCCATGTCTGTCTTCTCCTTTTCATCTTCTTTGTCTTCAAGTTTTTTTGATGCTTCATCTTCAGCCCCCAATGCTACAAGTATATCAGTCAAACTCTTTTTTACCCTGGAAAAGAAAAACTGCACATAAATATTACACACCTAACTCAAGTCAATCTATCCTGGAAAAAAGAGTACCCAAAAATAACCAAACAGACCGTTACAAGCTGATTTCACTGTTGCTCAAATTTCTATTAAGGCTTCAAATGTATTTCATATGTTACCTCATCTATTATGTGTACAAATCCAACCCATCTCATTTCCTTATTCTTGCCCATCCAATCGCAACTACTTGGGGTGAAAAAGATACACTTAGCCATATATGAGAAACACTTGAGAATTGATCTTGGAAATCCCATTTTTAACTGAGCCAGGATAAGGAGACCCATTAACTCTACAGGTTGTAACCAAGACCTGAGCCCTTGACATTGATGGCTGGCACTATTATACACTTCACACATCTTTCCCAACACAACCACCCCATGTGCATCATCAATTACACAAGATTCCCAATATTAACCTAAGTCCAGTTGAATTCCATGATAAAGCCCAAAGAGAGGTGAGAGGGAGTTGGCTCTTCTGATCACAGCTTGCCTGCATAATGGGATTTCCAGAGCTAATACTAGATCTACAATTGGTGACACTCCAAGAATATCTGTGGATCTAAAAGTCAGCTTGAAAAAGGGAAGGACAAGGAGGATGCAAAAATAAATTCCAAGGCAAACAAGTGAAGGTTAGGTGAGGAAGAGAATTTATGAAATAAAATGTGGAATTTTAAAGCATGGCAGACTAGCACATGAAAATACATCCACTGAAAAGATAATCAATTGTGAGAGACAATATCTATTTACTAGCAATTCTTCCATGGGCGACAAAGGTGCAGGGCCAGATCAAGGGTTTCGTGGGCCCCTAAATTTGCCAGTGTACCGTCTATTTATGTACCTTATTTACACTTATGACCCAAATTGTTGTCTTGGGAATCTGCTTGTGCTCTTAGCACTATAACCGACTAAACTATAAATTTCCACCCATAACAAAGAATTGCTAAAAGGATGACACTCAATCCGTGCTCACTGAGGAATTTCTGTTGTTTAGAGAAATGCTCCCCCATAATAAATAAGTAGCAGAATTACTCAAAACTCAGGTAACCAAGGGGCTGATCAACAGCTTTCTGAATGTGAATATATCTTTAAGAATATACAGTATTTGTAAATGCAGTACTCGGTACCACCTGTGAAGATAACAGGTCATTTTCCAAACTTAAAAGGATAAAAAAAAAAGCTTTCTAAGACCCTGGGCACAATGCCCTCTGTGCCCCCTTGATAGTCCGGCCCTGTTGAGGCCAATTGGTTTTCACTGTCATACTAAAAGCTAACTGACAGACTGAAAAATGACAAGTACTGTACATGTACTGTATTTTACTTACTGTTTGATTTTGTCATCAGGAGGCATTATAGGTGTGACAGCAAACTGCTTCAGAAATGGCCAGAGGAACGTATAAAAATGGTCAGGGAATGTGGCCCCTCGTTCCTGCTTCAGGTACTCGGCCACACTGAATCTGCTGCTGGGGTCTCGCTGGATCATATGTTCAACCAGAGCCTATACACCACCACCATGAAATAAGAATACACTCATGGATTTTTCAGTTATGATTTTATATCTCGAAAATTAAATTAACAAACTTCTATAATAATGATAATAAAAATAATAATAAATAATAATATAGCTAATCTTTTGTTCCTCTAAAGAATTCACTAGTGCTCGAAACACTACAAAGTCAAAGACTTGTGAATAAAAAGAAATACTGTACTAAAATAAAAGATCAGAAAAATTTACAGCTCAACTTCAATCACTCATACTGTGTATCCTTAAGTTGTAATACTTCCTAAACCCTGTAATTCTCCATCACTGTACCCTGTTCAGGATCATACACTTAAAAAAAAAGCCTTAAATTGTTTCTTAAAGGCCTCCACAGAAGTTACCTACTTCATGGATGCAAGCAACTGATTGTACAATCTGGATGTTGCATAGGAAAAGGATTGAGCAGCAAAAGAACAATCCCGTACTGCTCTGGGCAAAATCATTTCAGAATGTGTAGTCAGTGGAATTAGTAGGTTGTCCAAATACTTAGGCTCACCAAACATAGTGACTTAAAAGTCATTAGACAGAGTTTAAACTCTATCCTAGCTTTAATTGGAAGCCAATATAATTTTATCAAACAACACATCCACTGCCCACCAAATGAAGCGGTGTAGGAGAATAAGCCCTTAGACTCATGAAAGAACTGAGATATACTGGTTAATCTTCTCAGCCACAATGGCATCGAACATAAAAGGCGAAAAAACTTACGCTCAGCCTCGCGACGCCAACGTGGCGTTGAATGGGCAATATTTTCAAATAACTCAAAAACTATTCAGTGAAACTACTGACTGAACTTTGGATGCCATTTGACAGACGTCGTTTTCTTTGTGTGGGCCTTATAACCTTCCCCGAGAAGGTCTTGATCACCATGTGCATGGCAGCACAGTATGAAGCCAGTGTCGCTCTGGCCATTAGAGTGAGAGGAGGGTATGCTGCTATGCCCTTTAATTATTCCATGAGTTTTTGTTATATTATTTTTCCTTATACCACAATATTCTACATGCTTTGTTATTTATTTTGATATATAGTACATATCAATGTACACCATAATACAAGGAAAATGTGAAAGGAAATCGAGATGTTACTAAACATTTTTCTACCTTTTCAACTTATACTAGAAAAAAGTGGTTTAAATTTCAAGAATTTTCAATTTATTATGGTTTCATACAATTTCTCAGACAATTTTATGCTAGAAGAGACCCAATTACAATTTATAAAACAATTCCATGGCAGTGAAATGAGTCCTAATTTTTTTTTCAACGATTTTTCGGCAAAAACATCCAAGGCTGAGCGTAAGTTTTCGTGCACTTATGTGTCTCAGGCTCCAAAGCAGAGAGGGTTACCAATACTATACACTTCACCTTAACTCTGGGATCATCTATCTTGTCAAGAACTTTGTTGGGAGAGTAATCACCAACTCTATATGCTAAAAGCTGGGTGAGGTCAAAGGGTGCATATCCTTCTGTGAATAATTCAGCCAGACAGCATCTGTAAAACAAAAAGGGGAAATCAATACTGTACACTGTACTGTATACAAACAAATTGCCAACTGGAGATATGATGAGCATCTCAGGTCATTTTAATTATATATTAATCACCTGGGTTCATTATAAGTACTGAGAGTCAATGAGCATAATTATGAGCATCTGTGGCCCAACTAAGGTCATTTATCCAGTGAGCAAAAGGATTTAAAAAGAGATTTTTTCTCATTAACTCTTGTAAAGTTTTTTATACACAGTACTACACTGTAGGATGGCAAAATTAAAACTTGTGTAAATATTCAGTAGACATAAGCATGTTAAAACCCTTTCTTGAATCATTCTTTTCTTATATGATGTTGCTAGACTTATCTTACCCAGCTGAAAAGACATCCATAGCTGGTGTGAGATTCCCTTTATCTCTAACTTCCTTCATCAGGTGCTGGGCATCCATCTGTAGAGTCTTGATAAACCTATAAAGAATGAGAATAAAATATTATTATTGTTTATCACACAAACAAAATAATTGTGATATACAGTATAATTCAACCTCCACTGTATATAACCCCCTGTCCCATACACACACACACACATCAACACCATCTTATGTACATTTTCCACACTTGAATGGGCAAACCATGATTAAATAATGGCAGTTCTCCACATTAAAAGGTCTTTTGCAGGCTTTCATCAGGTTCCTCTCCTGAGGTCATTTCTTATAACCACACCCCATGTCATTCTTGGCCTACCCCTCCTCCATTTTAAAAGAAAATTCTATAAATCAAGGGTTTCTTTATATGTCTCTCATACAGTACTTACCTTTCTGGTGCAATATAACAAGTTCGTCTGCGGGATGTGTCAAAGAAATAAGTAAAGTCGGCTGGATCATCTTCTGGAAGCAATGTGGGTTTGATGGTGGCAAAGTCAGCAAGTAGAAGCCAGTTCCATGATGACACCATAACATTTTCCAACTTGATGTCTCCATGACAAACCTGATAATGAATGAGGGCTTTTGTCAGAACACAATGACAGGACTTTTGTCTCATAACTAGAATAAAACTTTCTTTCCCTTTGCTACTTTATGATTCAAATTGTCACCTGTTCATTGACACATCTACTCCCAAATACCTGACTGTCTCACTTTATTCATTCTATCTCCACTTTTACTGATACATATTCTTCCACATCCCATTTCAGCTTAGTTTCATCGCTTTACTTTTGCTCCCATTCACGAGTAACATTTCCAAAGACACAGTCTTCAAAATTTATTCATTGGCATACATATCTTTTCTTCTGAACCATCCATTAGGACAGTATCATCTGCATACATCAGCTGAATCATCTACCTGTATGTATATTATGTATGTTGTATGTATACCATGTATGTACTCTATATATATACATTACTTCTCTAGTCAGTAGCATGTGGCAATGCCCCCGTTTCATGTCACCACATGCTTAGATAAATGTGCCTGGCGACATCTGGAAGCTGCTAATGTACCACTTACCACATGTCGCCTGAGAGGTCAGAGAGAGGTCAGTTGACCCATATAGGAGTGTAAGGACTACCTGTGCTTGTAAGCGCACCTTGTATATTTCCGTTGAATAGAACCTACAGAACTCTACAGGTGTTTATGTTCGCTCCTGTAGTTAGAACCAAGTACCCCAAACATCTCCACTACCCTTTGCATTATGAATATTTAAAAATGCATCATCAAACCTTTAACAAAAGACTGAAAATAAGATAACTTATCTATCTGACATAAGCAAAAATGACAAGCAGCCAACTCACTCCCTCTTGATGTGCTTGGTTAAGAGCACAAAGTATCTGGAAGGCAAGCCATTTTTTCTCAATGGAAGTGAGAAAAGGTCGTGTGGAGATTCGGTCATACAGATTGCTCTTCACATACTGTCTGAACATCAATCCTGCCTTCTCTGTTACCTAAAAGATAAAAAGAAACATGTGTTTTACAGCAGGAGGAATGATTGAATGACAACGTATGAAAGAAAAAATATGTTTGTTTTGGGCCATCCTGCATTAAGTAAGTATAAGAAAAATATATTGGCACTACCTGCATATGAGGCTATATGAGGACCTGAAAAACACCGTTATTAGCGAAAACGTTATTTGTGTGACATTAAAATACATGTAAAAAGGGTTTATTGGTGCTGCCGCCCCAAGAATTTCACCCATTTTTCCCGCTTAGAAACCCTCCTAACACTTTTTGTTCGCTGAAATAAAAAGAATTGTTATTCAATCATCAAAATAAAGAGTTTGAGTATTATAACACTTAGCTTGGGGGAGTTTTTGAGGTGCTTGGTGTGATGATTGTTCCGTATCTGAGGGCCGCTAACACTTGCACTGTCTTTCATTCTACAAGCTAACCATTTCACAAGAAAATGTTCTGTTATCACTAACAACCTGTTTCTATCGCCTTTATCATTCATAGCTCGCCTCGCATTTCCATCACTACCGAAACATTTTTAGTCAGCACAATACTCTTCTTGGTCTCCTCTAAGTTCCTCTTAAATTTTCTATCTGTAGACTCAGGACAGTTCAATTTCCTCACTTTAAAAGTTCCCGGGCATTCAGGTGGCAAATCACTCCCTCCACCACCTCCCCTAGCCCCCACAAGCAAAAATGCAGAAGCCATAATTGATCACCGACCCTAACAACCACTGGTTATAGAGGCAAAAATCTCACACATGGGAACAGCGCTGTATTCCACGGAACCTGTGTGAGAGTGGGAGTGAGGCGGAGCGGACAACTACATCATCAACATGGCGGCAAACAAACTCTATCTTTGATGCGCTCGGATGCTTCCCGCGAAATCTCCGTTATTCAAGAGAATCCAGACGTTATTATCAAAAATGGGTATCTTTTGTAACTTACCGTTATTGTCGAAAACGTTATTATGGAAGTCGTTATTGGCGAGAGCCTACTGTAAGTGCCAAAAAAGAAACACACCAGAAAACATGGTTAAAGTTTTGGAAAATGAAACTTACTATACAGTAAACCCTCGATAACTTGGTACATATGGGGCTCTGGCCTTGCCGAGTTATCCCAAATTCTGACGTATCGAGGCACTTACCCCTTCCTACAAATATACAACAATAAAAAATTATCGACCCATATATATGTACATGAAATAACTAGATGTAAAAAAGTAACTCTTACCAGCACTGCAGGCAAAGAATGAAGCATCATAGTGGGTGACACAAAATGCATAGTAAATGACACAGAGGCATGGTAGAGGATGAAGATGGCCAGATATGCCAAGATTTTCCCAGATAATTTGATATATCTCGGCATTTCCCGAGTTATACTAATACATTCCGAGACCATATCCGTGCCTAGTTATCAAATGCCGAGTTGTCGGGGGTTTATTGTTTCTCTTGAACAAATTGTGATACCCCAATCATTCTTGTAACAAACTGAAGTTTACATACACAGGATTATGTTGCCACGATCAGATAATATCAAACTTGCCATTATTATTAGTAATCATGAATACCGTATGATCATAACCTTACCAATTTGGAGGCATTAGATTTTGATAAAATTTTAATATTTTGATACAGGATACTCATGTACACTCACTAAAAAATATTCTGCACCCTAGGCTCTGAAACTATCTGCAATGATCACTGCGACAGAAGCTGTGATGAGTGTTATCAGATTTATTGGTCCAGTGTGTCATATTGTATAACCCCATAAAGGAGAATAATTTTTAGTGAGTGTACTGCAAAACTCATCATAATCGGTACTGAAAATGGTAATACAAAGAATAATGCATATAAAATAATGTAAAGACACAGGATCACATGGCCACGCAGTTCCCTAGACGTCATTCACTGCGCACTATCACTGAGCGTTAACACAAATGGGATTTTCGACCCTACAAACTATTGTTCCACATTCCTTCGGCCTCAGAATGAAGAGGCAGTTGGTGTGGGAAGACAATGGGAATAAAAAACGTTTTTGGTTGGGGTGGTGTTTACGAAATTATGGTCTGCATAGCCTCATATATCTATCATCAAAATCACTTCAGGTGTATTGTATTGTACTGTATGTCAACAGCAACAGTAATCAATAGGAAAGGGTAGTACAGTATACTAATCTGTTTAGATGTGAGATGGAGCAATAAAAGATACAGTATGATAAATTTGAAAGATTTCCACCAATGACTATGAAAAAATTATTAATCAGCATTAATGACCTGATTCAAAAGTTAGCACTATTTTTTTTTGTCTGGCAAATAAAAAAAAAAAAGATTTCTGTATACAGTACCTTCAAATAATGAAACTGGAGACAATTAGCAGCTGTAATAAGTTTTGTAGAGACATTCTGCACTGACTTCTTGTACACAGACAGCTGTAGTGATGTATCATGAATAACAAACACCTTCACAACCACTAAGCCCTCCCATGTCTGGCACTTGGCCACCTTGAGGAAACGTGTACTACCCAAGCTGTGAGGGAAAAAAAAAGATAAGAGCATTTCACAAACCAGTGCAAATTCTTTCTATTAATATTCAAATTACAATGCACATTCAGTAATTTTAAAAGGGTTCCCCTATATACACATGAACAGTACTGTACAGCACAGAGCTGTACTGCCAATTACATATACAAGTATTAGCTTTGATCAATCCATTTTCTCTAATATCTCCTGCTTCAAGCATTTCTTGCACATTACACAATTTTCAAAATTAATATTGTATACAGCATGTGTCTGATTACCCTCATATCGTATACAGCATGTGAAGATTTACTGTACTGGTCTTTTCCAACTTTGTGGGATTCAATCAAAGAAATCCATCATTTATTATTTATCAATTGTTTTTGCAGTAGCGTACTGTACTACCAGTGTGGCACGCTAATGTTCTCCCTGGATTTATATACTGTACAGTATCTACATATCAGATCATCTTGCAATGTAAGTGTTACATTTACAATATTTATTACAGTACGTATTATTTATTTTATTACTACTGCACATTATATGTGCTTGCACAGTACAATTAATTATAAATAAAATATTTCATGTGGCAGCCATGACATGGTAACTGAGTACAGTATATGTTTGTTGGTTGAAATAATGAAGAACACTCCAAATGATGTGCAAAAAATTAACAGAAAAACGAACAAATAATCGAACACAAAAAATTTGAAATTGTCGAATAGTTGTTCAGCAATGTCGAAATATTCCGAACTCGATTAATTGGGATTTTTCAGTAATTCGAGTGGTCTAAACACTGCTTGAACAGTATTTTTGGCTGATTGTATCCAGTTACAGTAATGAATGTACAGTACTGCACAAGAGATCATATGCAAAAACAGCAGTGAGCAAGTGAACATAGTTGTGCTGTACAATGACAGTAGACAATGAATTAGAGTATGTATTGTATTTTTCTTTATTCTAAATGTTTATAAATAGAAATAGGAAAGTAAAACATAAAAGTAATGCTATATTTGGGTGATTCATGCTATTGTTTGTACAATGCCCAAGTTCATTGTGTTTAGCTTGAAATTTAAAAACTGATGACCCTCAATACAGCCCTGAAAACCAAAAGCACACAGTTTTGTGATATTGTGCCACCTTTTCACACTTCTGAACAAGTAACAATGAGTTATCCAATGGTAAATATTTTACAGAATGTACAGTACCGTACAGCATATTTTACTTTACTCAAAACAACAGGATATTAAAAAAATAAATTTCATACGTACATGCTGAAACATAACTTGTTTTCTAGCCAGATTTCTGCTTCCAGATGATGGCTTATCATGTAGATGTTACCATAATCAGAATATTGAGTAACAAGATTATAACACTACTGTACTTGCCTTGCTTCATAGTGAACATCTGGAAGATCTGACAGATACGTCTCCACTGGGAAGATCTGCGATGGGGCAATACCTGCCAGTTGATTGCCCATTGTAATATTTTCTGAAATATACCATAATGCATCAGTGACAGACTTTTGTTTTACTGAAATTATTATATCCGTCTACTGAGCTTACAATAGAACGTTCATGTTCTTGGGGCGATTCAATAAGTACTGTACTGTATTGTGCCAAATCACACAACTCACTTGTTCTGAATTAGGGGCAAAATACAGTCAAATAAACCACTGAGATTATGTGAATATTAAACACCCCTATTGACCTAATGCTCCCTGGGTAGCAGTAAACAACGAGGGTCTAGGTTGACCAGCTACCTGACAATATAATTTCTATAAAAAAACAACAACTTATTTCTTACCTCAAGAATAAATTAAATTGGACTGACAGAAAGCACTTCCCCTATTTTGTTTTTTCCCTATTAGTTTATCTAATACTGTATATAAAAATGTTCCCTCCCATGCAACTGATGCAATAACAAGTTTTTTAATGCTTCAAACATTTTTATATGAGCAGGAGGAAAATTTCATAGACATTAATACTATTCTATTTCATGCACACTAAGAAACAGCATTTTAATATAATTTTTGTATATACAGTACTGTATTATGATACATTGTTTGTTACATTTAAAAAAAAAAAACGATAAGAACTAAATTTGTAATTTTCGTAAAACAAGTTTGACAATACAATATGCCAGGATAATTAGCAGACTTTTATTTCGCGGTCCTCTATTATTTACGAATGGCACCCTGGATGTACCCAAGAATGTCTAAGGGTAGTTTCAAAGTTGCTGGCATTTTCGCGGCTGGGACAGGGAGCCATTCGTTCTAGAGACAGTAATTTCCTTTCCCTGTGTTGAACATACTTTACTCGGTGTGTGTGTGTGTGTGTGTAGACACACACACACACACACACATACATACAATACAGTACAGGTAAAAGAAATAATTGTCCTTTAAGGGCAAACACATTTCTTTGTACACAAGTAAAAATGCAACCCCCCCCCCCCTACCAGTCAGCAAATGTTATTCGTGGATTTGGCGATTCGAGGCCATTTTGAGAACCTAACCCCCGCAAATTTGAAGGGCATGCAGTACATATGCATGCTTCCCAGCGTCATCCTCTCCATACACACAAACACCTCCAGGTTATGTTAGGTTTGATAGGTTAGGTAGGTTAAGAGTGTTACCGGGTAATACCAGTACACTACTATACTGTAATTCAATTTGCACAGACTGGCTGTTGGGAAGCATTCCTTCGCTTAGTGTTTGATTATTTGGATGCTAGGAAGCATTTACCAGTAGTATCAACAGTTCAAAAGCAATATGGCATTGTCGGACACACATCGGACATGGAATGTCTTTCTTTATGGGAAAAATTAGGGAAAAACAAAATTCGAAGTGTGATTCCTAAACCTAATTTTGTTTACTCTTGATATTTGAACAAATGTTATTCAACAGAGACTTTCATCAGGAAATACGAAGCTGGTAAAGCCAGACCCCTGACCTTTACTATTTCCCAATACAGTTGTAAACATACACACATTATAATGTAGTTATGAGTTACAAGATTACTAAGCATGTGACCCTTCGACAACCTTATCAATATTCTGCCATAAAGTAACCAACAGTAGCGTGGCTGAGCTAAATATATTATCTACTCAAACCTATACAGTATTCTGTACTGTTTCTATCAATGTGGCTGTTTATCTCCTATTTACATGTACTGTACAGTATGGGTGAACTTATTCTGAGTTTCTCCTGGAGTCAGGCGACGTAAATGAGTGAATAAAAGTCTCGTAAAGAGCAATTCATTCTTTACCATACAGGTATACGTATACTACACCACAAAAATGAAGTACTATCCATGGGCTGCCTATAAAATATGCAAGGTTTACATATATGAGATCATAGTTTACTCATGGAAAAAAAAAAAAAAGAGTATTTAAAGTAAATAATTCAACTTTCGACATTACCTCCAAAATAATGACTATCCAAGAATGTTGAAAGGTAACGTAACCTATATCTGAAGTCCAAATAGCAAAACATTAACTCTTTCTATAGAAACTGGCAGGGATGTTGAAACAAACCTTAACCAAAAACACTTATAATTAAAATAAAATGTTTCCGCCTGTTTATACTGTAAACACTTACTATGATGATAAAAACATGTGGAAAATGAAAGAAATCAAGCAGGTCAATATTTAGTAAATGACACCAGGCAACTCAATAGTGAGTCATACATGGGGAGATAGAGAAAAAATAAATAAAAATAATTTATTCTATAACGTTTCCGTCGGAAATTTATAGTTTTCGAGTAAAAGTAAAAAAAAAATTAATGTATAATATTTTGCCAATCGGACTGAGTGCTGATGTGAGTTAATACTCGTTCGTTAATTAGCATTCACGGCCAGTTGAAAGATAGCGTCGTTGTGCGATGGATGTAGAAGAACATAAGGAGTCTGCAATAGGCCGGTTGGCCTGTGCATGGCAGCTCCTGTCGAGAGTTACTACCACTCTCTATCATCCATGAATCTATCCAGCCTCCTTTTGAAACTTTCCAGCATTCCAGCACTTACTACAAAGTTGCTAAGCTTGTTCCACTCGTCCACCACCCTATTTGTGAACCAGTTCCTTCCTATCTCCCTCCTAAACCTAAACTTATCCAAATTAAATCTGTTGCTACAAGTCCTATCCTGCTCGGTTATTATAAGAACTTTATCTATATCTCCTTTATTGATTCCTTTCACCCACTTAAATACTTCTATCATATCTCCCCGCACTCTTTGTCTTTCTAGGGAATGCAAGTTTAGTTTTTTTAACCTATCTTGATATGGAAGGTTTCTAAGTCCCGGAATCATTTTCGTCATTCTTCGCTGCACTGACTCTAGTGAATTGATATTCATTCTATAATAGGGGCACCAGAACTGAACAGCACAATCGAGGTGCGGCCTGACTAGCACAAGATAATACAGCTGCTCCTCGACTTACGACGGGGTTAGGGACCCAAATCCAGGTCGTAAGTCGAAAATGCTTAAATAAGACATAGAAAATCTAAAATGGGTGTCTCTTTTTCTTCTCAGCGCCACAAAACTCTCACGTTTAAGCTTGCCAGCCATTTTAAAGTGAATTACAAACTAAAATTTTGTCAGTACACAGCGCAATCACTTACGTTGGGACTCAAAAATACGTAATTTGACAAAATTTTGGGACGACTGAGGCGGTCGTATGTCTGGGTGGTCATAGGTCGGGTATGTTGTAAGTCGAGGAGTAGCTGTATAGTTGCAATAAGACCTCTGCACTCTTATTACTTACAATTCTAGATATAAAACCTAATCCTCTGTTTGCCCTATTTTGAACATTAACACACAGTAATACAGTACATTGGCTGGCTGCCGCATTATTCAGCGCGTTTTGGACATTGAAGCAGCTGCCATTGACATTTTTAGAGCTCACGCTGTTCTTGTTTCATCTGTAAAGTGTCCGAGATGTAATTCAGTGTCAGTACCGTGTAGATCACCATGCATGGCGCTGTGGTAAGAGACGGCCACTTCCTCATTCAAGTCGCATCACTTTATTCTCCTGTATCTCTTACTTAAGGTAATTTCTTATGCACTAGGGGCTAGGTTAGGTTAAGCTAGGCTAGGTATTTTAGTGAATTTTTTTAGGTTTTTACATTGTTTGACCAACCAATTTTTTCTTCAATATCTCAACTACTGCTCATTTCCGACGGCAATGAAGGTCATATTTATATTTAACAAGATGATTTACACTAGAAAAACCTATTTTTAATATCAGTTACCTGGTGTCATTTTCAAAATATTGACCACCCAACAACCCCTTCTGGTGTTAGACATCTCCAGGGTAAATGTTTACGAAACTACTATCACTAGAAGTTGTTTGTTCATTTTCTTTATTTTTTGCTATACTTATTGTTTTGATTTTAAGTATATTAAAAGAAACGACAACTTTCTGTTATAATTTTGGTAAAGGTGTAGATAACAGCTACTACCAGAAGGAATTGTACGAATTGGTTGAACAATTTTCAGCGCACTAATATCATGATATTAAACACAAAAATGGAAATGACACTGCATAGAACCTAATAGAACCTGACCTAACATACCCATAGGTAGGGGTCAGGTTTTATTATGTTCTATGCATTATTTTGTATTTATTTTTTTATATAATGCTAATAACATTATATTAAGCACAGAAATGGAAACGACACTGCATAGAACCTATACGACCTGACAATCTTTTTATTTACTCTATCCCGCTTCACAATTCTCCTCCCGGCGCCATTTTCGTTATTTACCTCGATGAATTCCTTTTCAAGAGACGTTTCCTAAATGACGGTCAACGCTTCCACGAATTCCTCCTCGCCATTGCTGATGTACAGTATATCAACCCCAATACTAACACGATAACCCGTAGAACCTGACCTAACAAAGTTGGGTATGTTAGGTCAGGTTCTATTAGGTTTTATGCATTTCCATTTTTGTTTAATATCATATCAGTGTGTAGAAAATTTTGTTCAACCAATTCGTACAATTCCTTCTGGTAGTAGCTGTTATCTACACCTTAACCCATCTCCAGTATAGTATTAGCAAAAATACATAGATCTACCATTACCATATCTCCACCACTATAATAAATCAGCAAAAACCTATAGTCCAATAATTGAGATTACTACAGGGGCAAGTAACATCCACCTATGCCCCAAGTATCAATACCAAAAAAATAAGCAACATACATGACCATTAAAACAAGTGTTCACAGGCCCTTTAACTCTACCACCCATACAATAGGTGTTTTCTACAATAGTTCACCCATATTATCACAAACCTCATATATAAACAAACTCCCTGAATATCAAATAGTTATATGAACAAATTTAACACAAAAATAACCAGTAACTTACACTTTAACTGGTAATTACAAGTAACTGTATGGTAGTATCCTCTTGTGTCGCCATAGTCAGCTGATGACTGAAGGCTCACTGAAGCTTTGAGACGAAGCTTATGGTTCACTCAAGCTTCCTCTTGTGTTACTTAGCAATATTGATGTCATAACAAACCTTAGAAATAATAAAAAATCTTCTTGTAAGTGTAATATTTGGTTTAGGATGTATATAGACAATATAATTATATAGTTGAGTATATAGATAACAGGGGGGCGAGCTGTGAGGTTATAAGGTATTAATTAACAACAACGGTGTTTATTTATTTCATAATCTAGTTGTTAAAACATTACATTACCTAACATACTAATATAGATATTGTAAATAGAACAGATTGATTTTTATCTTAATTTTGTAATTTTACGTGGAAACCGTGTCATATCTCTTTAAAGATTATTAAGTAATATACTGTACACACTGGATATTTATTCATTCCATCGAGTAGATCACAACAATTAATTAATTCTTAGTGTGATCCTGTGGTAGTTTATCCTGAAGGTAGCTGTTAATGAGGTGGTAGCTTCACCGTTGGTCTACAGTGTGAGGGTCGCCATGTCCTCCCTGGAGAAGATCCCAATGACTGTAGAGCAACGTAAGACACTTGTTGCTCTTATATCTCAAGAACAAGAGAGTATACAAGATAAAACACACGACGTAAAGAAAATAATAAGGAAACAAGAGGCATGGGAAGAGTTGACAGCTAGATTTAATGCCATATATCCAGTGGAAGTCCGTACAACATCCCAGCTCAAACGGGCATGGGAATACATTAAGAAAAGGCAAGATTTTGTTGAATAATATTGAATGTCACACAATGAAATTAAAACTGGTAAGATTTCAGAGGAGTTCTGCCAGCTTTATAGTAAATTGAAAATAAACTTACCTTAAAAGTTGTTCAGATTATTGTTTTAAGCCAAAGACTGCTGACAGGAATCTCCACATTAGGTCCATGCTCACTCTGTCACACCTCACATGCCATGATACTTTGGGATGATATCAGCACCTTGGGATAAAAACGAATATTAACCCACTACAAGGTCAAGGTTTATATCTGGAGCTAGGGGATCCCCACCCCATTGGAGGTCATAGCCATAAGTTGAGAAAGCAAAAAGTGCAGAATAAGAGCTGTGAAATCTTAGCAAAACCTGTGTCCTTAGTCACTGAAGAATCTTAGCTCTTTTGTATTCAGCTGGTTGGTTCATTAACCACCAAACGTTCACCAAATAATATTAAAAGTGGCATCCCTGAAGTGAAGGAGTAATTATATAGGACTAACCAGCGAGCGAAATTGATAGAAACAATTATGCAAACGCGGATTTTCATGTTATATTATAGTGGACACTGTTGTAGTTTGTGGAAATATGTTAAAAATGTGATGTTTTAAAAATAAACATTACAGGTAGTGGGCAGCTACCAAACAGGGAGGTACTACCACTTGGGAAGATATTGGAAGCATAATGTGTTGTCTAATGGTAGACCCTGCTGCCATGTGTGGCCAAGTCCCAGGTTGATGATCTGACTTTCTGCCTCATTTACACACAATTGCAGGGTCTCAATAGTTTCTCTCACTACAGGGTATTCACAACACAATACAGTACAGTATACATTTATTGTTTCTCACTCTTGATTTTTTTTTGTATTTCTTTATGGTTCTTTATTATTATTATTATTTTTTATTAAAATTTTTATTTACTATGGATTATTATTATTATTAGTACATTTGCGCCCCCAGACCCTACTGTGGGTCAGTGACCTGTGCCCGGGTTGGCTAATCCTCGTAAAAAAAAAAAATAAATAAAAATAATTGTGTGTATGACGAACAGACCTAACCAACCTAACCAAACAAACCTACCAAACTTAACCTAACTTCCTTACCAGGGGTGCAGAGCCCCCCCCCCTCCCCCCCATATATTAAACACAAAAAGAACTTACTATGGTGAAATTTGGGGCATTTTCTGGACACGAGATGATATGGCCACATCGGCACTCTGCACCCCGGGCGGCGGAGTGATTTACTGTGTTGGGTTCCACAATAAATGATTATCATATCAGAACTCACTGATGAAGATAATGTAAGAAAATAAACAGTCTCTATGTAAAGGAACAATGCCGTGATCTTTAAACAATTGAAGGGTCTCGTTGTCTTTACCCATAAATTCACAAATTACGTCCATGGAAGATCGGCGACAACCCTCACACGACATGATGAAAAACAAACTGCCCCGGGTGCAGGAAAAGTCCTTCAGCATAACACGGCCTCATTACTGCCGCAAGATAAACTAGTGCGTGCCTAGGCGCCTAATTAGCTATGAAACGAAAAATTTCCACAATAAATGATTATTATATCAGAACTCACTGATGGAAATATTATAAGAAAATAAGCAGTAATGAAAACAACTCGCTCATGGGTTAGTCCTATACAGTATATTAACCAGTGGCAGTGGCTGTTATCCATCATGGTAGCTTGAAACTGATGGGGGCAGTGAATGGTTTTATGGCTATCTTTTTTTTTCCTATTAGCTTTAATCCTTTGTCATTCTTTTTCATATCACCTGCAGATTAGGTTCCTCAGGTTATTTCACATGATGTTTAAACACCTTCATGTTCACCTAGCCCTCCAGGTTGCATTACGATGTTGACTGGTAATCTTCATGTAGAGCCGGTGCGTGCCCAGTACTTGCCAACAATGCGTAACAGAGACGTGACCGATCGCCCAAGCGGCTATATGAGCCGATCAATGGTGAAGAGGATAAAGTAAAAGTAGTAAGTGGAGGTGCCTAATCTTCAGGTGATTCTCATTTTCTTGCTTGTAGGATTCTTATTCATTTTAATATTTTATAACATCAGCAAGTGTAGATTCCCTTCCCAAGTATGAAGAGAGGAACACTTGTACTGTACTGTACATGGCTACTCTCTAATATTCCTTTTGTTCATAGTTAATATTATTGAGTACATGTATTAATTTTTGCTTTGCAGTATTTTGATTTTATTGTTGGAAATATAATTTGGCTCCTAAATATTTTGAATATCTTTGATGGCAAGTTTATTTTCAGTTTAATACATTAGTAATGAGCTAGCAGAAATCTTTTGGAAATTTACCATAAGGCTGTGGTAAGGAATACAGTTCTGTATTATAAAGATCAGTACAGAGGAGTCTTAATAATTTGCAAAATACAAATTTGTGTGCTTAAATTCATGGGGACCTGTATTATCATATATTTTTTTAATTTTGTGTTCAGATGTTCATAATTCGTGGTTGAACACTGAGTGCCCCAGTGTTTTTTTACATATGAATCCATAAAAGTTGTGGAAATACAATTCATTGCTCTTATATACCTTGGAATTGAAAAAAACAAGATTATGAGTATCACTTCAATCCTCCGTAAAATAAGAAAAATTAAAAGTAGTAAGTTAATTGTTTGTGGGAGGCAGGAGAGTTGAACTGATTGCCCCACCCGCCCTGGTTTCCGAACCAAGTGCACTCCTCCGACCTTCTCATTAATTGCATTTAAATGTTCGTGTATTAAACTATAATTCGTGATTTTTTAATTTATGATGTCTTCTGGAACCTAACCCACAAGTTATCGAGACTCCACTTTATCACAGTTGACCTTTATCCATTTGGGGGATTTTTTTCTACAAACTCAAGCCAATTGAAGAAACATTCTATTTATCAAGGTACTGTACATTATGAAATGATCTCATTCTTTCAATTTAAAAAACATGTATACTGTACAGTACTACAGTATATTATACAGTAATCATAAGCAGGAACTACTTATCCACAGTATCACATTACCAAAGAGATGGAAGTAACTTCTTCTTTGGAGTTTTCCTTCATGTAATGTTGCAGTCATTGAGATTCATTTCCCCAAAATTGGGGAAGGCAGCCAAAGTGTTTACATCTTTGCTATAAAGATACCATGATGCTATTTTCATATTAGCACTCTTAGCAAATGGCTCCAGCCTCTAGGAATAACTCAAATTACAGTAAATCATGATCACGTGTCCTTAAAAGTGCTGTGTAATTATTGGACATCTTTTTCCAGCAGATTTTTTGTGAAAATTAGGTTTAGTAGTAATGATTTATTCAGGCCTTGTTATCTTAGTAGCTCCAGAGCAAGCTGATAGTAATTACTCCTGACTAAAACGATACAATTCCTGAGCCTCCACAAACACTACTGTACTTGTATTAAGAATGCTGGTTCTCCAATCAGTGTCACTGAAGTTAAATCACCCTGAGGAAATACTGTAATTCATTTACATTACTGTATAGCTGCTGTCCAGGTAATGTATGGACTGTATGGATCCTTATCAGAATGTGGTTTAACTCTAGATATGCACAACTTAGTATTCAGTCATCAAACAATTAATTCCCTGTAGTAAGGAACAGCAACTACATATTTTACATATTTACTCGAATACACCACCCCTTTCTTATATGGCCAACACTTCAGCCATCAAAAACAATTATTTCAGTTTAGATACCATACTGTTCATTTTACTCCTTGGTAGCTGGTTCTCAGAAATATCTCTTGTACCTCAGAGTACAGGTATTGTGGTTTGTGTGGGACTTACTCCCCCTCCCCCCTTTTCTGTGCTGCAAGGGTTGTGCAGTACAGTAGTAGGTTAATGTACTGATCAAAATATGGCAGATGAATTGGAACAGCAGATATTCCAGTACAGTATAACAGCTTTTGTCAAATCAGTACACTCCCTCTTTCTTATTAGTACAGCTCCTCCCTGACTTATGACGGGGTTGGGGACCCAAATCCAGGTCGTAAGTCGAAAATGCTTTAATAATACATAGAAAATCTAAAATGGGTGTCTCTTTTTCTTCTCAGCACCACAAAACTCTTACTTTTAAGCTTGCCGGCCATTTTAAAGTGAATTACAAACAAAAATTTTGTCTGTGTACTGACGTTGGGACTCGAAAATACGTAATTTGACTAAATTTTGGTACGACTGAGGCAGGTCGTAAGTCGAGTAGGTCTTAAGTCGGAGAGGAGCTGTACTGTGCAGTATACAGTATACCATAACCTTGTATACAAGAACTGTAAGGGCCAGACACTTTCTGCAAATTATAAACATGTCCAAAATTCTGCCAGCCACCATTACAGCAAAGGGACCTCAAAAAAATAAGTGCGAACCTCTTGGTACACTTTGAGCTATTGGTGGGACTTCACAGTTGCTTTGAAGAGTGGATATTTTCATCCATTTTACAAATATTTACATGTGTTTGTAACCTAATCAGAGGGGGTATGAATGTAAATGGGGACAGAAGCTCAAATTACTGTATCCAGTTCCTCTTATTTGTATTCAATGTTATTATTTCAAACTACAGGTAATTCCTTTTTTACTTTTAGAGTGAAGCGAGAGCACAGTGCATATGTGAAGAAGTGGTCAACTGTGTGTGAAGGACCTCCACCATCTCCTCCAATGTATGATGAATTAATAAATGCAGCAGCAAACATAATGAGAAAGGACCTGGAATATGCTGAATATCAGTGTAATAGCTTTCCATTACAGCTAACTCAACCTCATAAAGATAATACATCTATGATGGTGCAGAATTCAGATGCAGGTACAGTATTTGGTTTGCTTATGTACCTTTCCATGGATATGTTTCTGGATACAGTACTTCACATTTTTTGCAGATTTTGGAAGGTTTTCCTTTGTTGGATACAAATTTACAGTTTTCCTACTTTTAAGAAATCAGTTTCCCTTATCAATTGATGTAAATCAAGGCTGGCTAATGCATTTCAAGAGACATCACTGGGTGAGGGACAAATCAATTACTGTACAATGACCTCTGATGAGGAGCTAGTGTAGATCTGTGATGTGATATTAGTGTAGTAATTTGAAACTGTGTGAAATACTGTACAGGTATCCCTCAATTTATGCTAGGATTGCATTCCTGGAAACCCTAATATAAATCAAATTAAAGTAAATCAGGAGCCTTTTAGCATGGGTTTCAGTGGGATATATTCATAGCCTGTCTGAAACAGACATTTATCACAGAAAGAGCTATCCTACACTATTTAATTAATACTGTACAAAATATTAGAGAACACTCACCACATTAATAATAACAAGCAAAATCTGAATGATAAGTCTTTTCCTCTCACCTATAAAAGCAAATATCACGGCGATCACGAGATTATACAACGATAAACAATGAAAATGTTGGTTACATGAGTGAGGGCAGGTGCGATCACTTTGGAACAAAGGGCGGAAACGAAATAAGCAGGGTGGGCGTCAGGCGGCACGCAGGTAGGTGAAGCTGTGCGGAGGATGGCGAAGCAGTTTCTGCTTAACATAAATCATGAGAGGGTGTTAAAACCTAACTAATGTTAATGTAGATTATCATAAGTCAAATAATCATAAATCTAAATATACCTGTAAGTTAAATTGTAGTTTATCATGGAGTGTAAGATACAGTACCGTCTCATTTGTGTCAGCAGAGTTAATTTTGTAATACAGTATACTGGAGACAAGCAGCAGTTGTTATTGCCAAAAATATGTGCAGGTCTATTTAATTGTTACAGTACTGTAGTTATTATTTTTATTTTGTTAGAAATCAAATTATTTAAATGTGTATGGAGTAATACTAGTCTCCACACATGTAAATCTAATTCACTAGAGGTCAGGAATTTTTTATAGTGCAGTACAGTAGTACTGTTATGATACATGTATTTTTTCTCTCTCAGTTTGGGTTGATGAATCTTCAAACTCATCTGTGTGTTCATTCAAGGCTGCACAGCCTCCCACAGCTGCCTCCCCTGTTCTTCCTACATACACTGTTAATGAAGAAGCTGCCATTCCAGAAATTGTGATGCAGGAAAGTTCGTCATGTTTTCCAATAAATGATATGAAGAGAAAGTTGGTAGAAACAACCAATTTGGAGAATGACATGCAGGAAAGTCCTTGTCAGGTAACTGCAAGGAGCTCCAAGAGGAAAAAGACAACTGAGGCAATATATGATGAAAGTAATATTCCAGAGACTGAAGAAGAGGAAGTATCTTATAAAATGCCAACAGCTGAAACAAAGAAAAAAGTGGCAGAGGCAAGGGAGAAATTCTACAAAAGAATACAAGAGAGGCAAGAGAGAGAACATGAGGAAAACATGTGCTACATTAGAGAAAAACGTGAGGCATTACGAGAAAGGCGTGACGCATTAAGAGAAGAGCGTGATGCATTGAGAGAAAAACGTGAAGCAGTTCATGAATGGTCTGCTTTAATCCAAGAAATAAAAGAAACTGTGCACAAAGTGTCTATTGCAGCCGAAGCAACAGAAAAGGCAATGCACAAAGTGTCCGCTGCAGCAGAAGTTAAACAATGGGCAATGCACAAAGTATCTGCCGCAGCCGAGTTAACTGAACAAACTATGCACAAATTATCTGGTACAAGTGAAAATGCATCAAAGGCATTTACAGCATTGCATACATTATCACCAGGGACACTTGAAAAATGATTTATCTTACAGTATAGCAAAGCTGTACTGTACAGTACAGTACAGTATTTGGTAAAAATAATATATGGTTGTAATATTTTCTAGGCATTTGTATTTGTTACCTTTGCCTGTATGAGATTCTTTTTTAAAATGATTTATTCTTTTAAATCTACAGTAAACCCTTGGTAACTATGAATATATGGAGCTCTAATCATTCCGAATTGTCAAGGCACTTTCTTCCCGGACTTTCGTCCCACCCCATTACCCAACTTTTTGGCCAAAATAACCTACCATAATCAGAAAACTTGCAAAAAAAAAATAAACACTTACCAGCACTGCAAGAAAAGGATGAGGATAACTCAAGCTTGTGGTGCCATTTGGTAGATGTCAGAGGTTTATTGGGGAGCTCACTGCACTACAGTAAAACAGTACAATTCTATATTGTTAGCATTTAAGCACCAACGTTACCAGGGAATGCCTGGGAGGTGTTCATGGAACCAGTGTGAGACAGAGAAGGACACCTGAGTTAGCACCGAGATGGGATTTTTTTTTTTTACCTTTTCATGCACACATTCTTTCATACAGAATGTGTAAACAAATATTTTAAGGTAAAAAACATAAAAGATATAAACATTTCTTACATGTGCTTTTGTTATCACACTGAGCAGAGGAGGGGGAGTGGAGTGGGATGGATTCTCTCGTGCTGAAATTGCGAGTTATGTAAAAATAATATTAAATTGAATATTTTACTGCCAACACGAATTATATCGAATTACTAGTTATCAAATTCGGAGCTATCAAGGGTTCACTGAAAAACTTATTAAGTATTACTTCTAGTTTTCAATACTGTACTGCATTTTTCAAATTATTTATTTACTGTCAAAATACCTAGGGCTATTTATTTTGTAAATATAAATGTGTAAGTTGTTTTGAGAATAATATTTATACAGTATTCAGTAATTCTGCATAAAACTTCACATATCAGTATTTTTAAAATACAAATTTTCTCCAAATGACAGCTGTAGTAAAATTAACTTTTGTAGTATTGTAAATGTCTTCTTTAATTTTCAGGTTGATTCCTTAAATACAGTAGCAAATCATAAAAGTTAGGTTGTTTTTCTTGGGGATAGTATTTACTCATGTATCCAAAAAATTACCAAGTGAGTAAGTTGAAAGATGGTCTGTACAATGTCTCACTTTCCATACCCAAACATCAGGATTGATCAACCCTATATAGCTAGTAAGCCGAGAGGATTGAATTCCTAGGCCCCAAGGGCCTAGCATTTGTATTTTGAATGTAGAACTAATACATTCGAAAATTTATATTTTCCTTCGCCTGTACTGTACTACACCACATTTCAAAAGCAGACCCTTGGTATAAATGTCCACTAATAAGGGAGGAGGCTGAAGAGGTTTTGCTGCTAAATATTAACATACATAGTACAGTAGTGTACTCTGATCTGCTTCTGTTACAAGTGATACCATCAGGACCAGCACCTCAGATCTGGTCATACCTCTGCACGGAGCAGAGCTATTAAGCACGTGCTGTGACAATATATGCAGGAATTTATTTCTTAGAATTTTAGATGCTTACATGGTGTTTACAGCTGCCATTCAGTCCTAGTTGTTAACATAAATATATTGTATATGGTAATGGTGTGTTGCAAGCATGTTTGCATAACATACCAAGATGATGGCTAGCTATCACGTAGCTACAATATTTATCAGAAAGGGTAATAAGGAAGGTGAGAGCACTTCATAATAACTCAACCCTCATTGAGAGGGATTTCGATGTCCAGTAAAATTATTTGGCCAAAATATTACAAAACAAAATTCTGCATTTCGGGCAGCGTGATTTTGTTGAAACTTTTTTACGTTTGAAAAACTTTTGAAGTACTGTAATATGAGATTACTTCTCTTGACCCATGACAACCCTACTCAAACTTGTGTAGGTTGATAGTATTTAGGATGTATGGTACTGTTAATATTGGCGTCATTAAAATTTTGTGGTCGAGATAATGTTTCAACTTGGTCAATGTGGTTGGATTCAGCAGACACAAGAACTCTGGGACAGTTTTGTCTTACTTAAAAGCCATGAATGGCAGATTTAATAAGTCCATCCATCAGAGAAGACCTAGGTACCTGCTACCTTAGCAATTAATAAGTGGCACCAAAGACCTACCTGGCCTAGGCTAGGGAGTGCAAGGTGTTCTTTTTGAAACTCTTACTGTCAATTTAGTATAATTTTTTTCCCAATTAGAGTGCAAATTAAACTCAACACTTGTAGCTAATTTTTACAGCCTATCTCCATTTTGTAGCTGTTTATAGTTTACAGACTTGCTGAAACCCAATACTAGTGTGATTCTGAGATCACATTTTATAACTGAACCAGGATTGAACAACTCAGAATCTGTCTCCCTTCCCCATGAGGTGACCTGGATCCAAAGTGGTGGTCATGATGACAGCAATGCAAGTGAGCTTGTGTTTATGCTCATTAGCAAAAAATTTCCATTTTAGTGTACCAGTATATTATCTGTCTGTTCCTGGAATCCAGGATGAGGGTGTAGTGTAGGCTAATGTATTTTTAAATGTATTAAGTTTTTAAATACCAGTCATAAGAGTTTGGGCACTTGGGTCTGTAGATTCAACCCCTTCGACTTGCTGGCTATGCAGCAGTGATTGATCCTGGCTCTGTCATAAAATGGAGTCTCAGGATCAGTCCATCATTTATGTTGGAAACTGCATGTCTTTATACTATTATCTGTGTTCTTCCATCAGGTATACTTACTGCCTTGGTGTCCTTCTTTTTCTCACACATCATCTTTTATTTATATGATCATAGCACTACACTTATACTTCTTTAAATATCAACTTTCTTATATAGGTACAGTATAATGTATTGACTAATGCAATTCCCACAAAAAACATGAGATTACTGTACAGTCGACCTTCGTTAATTCGGACCCCTTTAATCCGGATAAATCGGACGAAATCTGAACTGTCCAAATCAAATTTCTGGTTCTGGGATTGTCCCAGTTGCAATTGGGGTTGCAATTTCAAATTCTGTGTCACTACTAAGAAATAACAAAGTCTCTGGTGCACTCCTAGATTAAGAGAAAATGGACGACTCAGGCGTCCTGAAGTGAGAGAAAACGGACTCCTATAACGGGGCACTCAAATAAACATACACACAGCTGTATAATGCAATATTAACCCCTAAATCGGTTAATTCGGATAATCGGCTAAAACGGACACCCTTCCCCCCCTATTAGTCCGTTTTAACGAGGGTCGACTGTATTTACATCTTAGCCACAGTGTTTGGTGAAGTTAAACCCAAAAAAGTTGATGAATGGATTGACTAATAGAGACAATGCTATATAAAAATGTACACTACAAATTGTGAATGTATAAAAACTGATAGAGCCTCTGGTGAAATAAATTTGTATGTCCTCTAGTATATACAGTAGAGTACAGTACAGCACTATATTAAGCCCAAGTTACTCCTAACTCAACAGAATGGACATAGGAATTGGCAGGAATACACTTATACCTGTAGTTATAAAACTAACTTCAGTAACAGACTAATTAACTTACAGCTAAATTTCTTTACTAATTTACCATTACAGGGGGTATTAGCTTCAATCAATTGTGAATAAATTAAATTAACAAAACCCAGTAAATGAAGTCACAAAACTGCCAACCAACAGGTGTGAGCTTGTCCTGCCTGACTTGAACCAAAGTTGTTGTGAATATGTGTGGCTTACCGATTCTCTCATCATCAGCTAGGAGCTTTGAAGCATATAGTAGGTCTTGCAAAGCTTCTTTCCACTTGATCTGCTACAGTAAGCGAGTTGACTCTAAACAACAACTCATTCAAAGCCAAAGTTTATTCTATCCATATCAATATACTGTAGGTAGCAGGTTCATATTGTCAACACTCTTTTTACACTTTTATCACTGCCAAACTAGCCTGGTGACTATACATTTGCGATATGACTTATGAGGTCCAAAGAAGCAGGTGATACAAGAAGTAAATTTCAATATACCTTGTACATGTAGTGTATTTTTTATAATTCTTAAGTTAACATTATAAAAATCAATACAGCTTAGGCCACAAAGAAATATGAGTATGATTTAAATAAGCATTGTGGTGATCCTTTTTGACATCTTTATACATTACTGATTGGATAAAGAGTTAAAGACTAATGGTAATATAATACATGGGCTGCGAGGTATCAAGAAAATAAATACAGGCACTCAACCACAAAACTGAAATCCTTGGGACAAAATACATAAACATCATGTATTTGGGGACAAAATACACTGTATATAGTATTGACATCTTTAACAATAAAAGAAATATCTATAATATACCTGAATTACTTCACTGATGATATGCACCACTGTACAAATGAGGCGCTCCGCATTAGAAGGGGTGAAACCTAATAATAAAAAAGCTGAGAAAAACGCGTTTAAAGTTTTTCGTAGTTCAAACAACCATAACTTTTTTGTTTTTTAAGCTAGAACGTTCATATTTTTTTATCGTGCAGCTCAATCCCTTGTCTTGCACCCACCCCCCATAAAAATTTAATACTGTAATTTAGATAAGCATAACAATGCATAAAAAATACTTCAAAACAAAAATATTCGATATGAAAGGAACAGCAAATAATGCACTGCAAACGACAACTAATACTGTATTGTTATCTAGACAGTGGTGGGTGTGTGGCTGTATCAGGGACAGTAAATTGGGTGTGCAAAGCAGCTAATGGCCTTGATACTGTAACAAAGAACAGAGAATATTAAATGAATTGAAGTCATGTTAACAAGAAATCACATACTATATTATGTTACTGGATGATTGTGTTACACAATTTCTCTACCTGCACATCAGTGAATGTGTGTGATGTTGAAGAAATGTAACTAAAATTAATAAGGAATACCGCATATACTCGTGTGTAGCTCGAGTTTTTAAGACCAAATTTTTAGGCAAAAAGTTGGGGGTCGACCTCTACATGGGTAATAGTTTTGTTAGGTTAAACCCGTGCATGATGGGACGGGCGAGGATTAACTTTTAGCTTCACATGAAAAATATTTACCATTTACTGCCAGTAAACAATGGAAACGTAAAATATGTACCAATTAGTAATGAAAAGCTGTGCAGTGCCTTCAGCAGATGAAGCTCACCAACTTACAATAGGTTAAATTACCTTACAACGTGCTTTCAGTAGTCTATGTTGAAGTTCTTAGCACAGGCTAACTTATCATATCATATACAGTATCACACTGGGGGGGGGGGGGTTGCATAAATCAGAATTCTAGATAAGCTGGACAACCTTGAGTCCCATACAATCCAAATTAGGGAGGTCTTACTAAAATAAAAAATTCCTCCAAAATCAGCTAGAATGGTATGCTTGATTACCACATGCTGCCATATTTATTGCTATGATAAATAATAAAATCGAAACAGCATTATTTATTGCTATATTAAACAATACAATGGAAGCACAGCATACAGTATTATAAAATACTATAGCACATATTTTATGTACAAAATTGGCACCTTCTACACTCGAACCATCCTCTGGGCAATGGGACACAGTTCAGGCAATCAACCAGCTGACTCACAGACATGCGGCTACCACACTGGAAGTGTGCATGCCATGACATCGCATCGAGAGGGAACATGGCCACGCAGTTATAGCCCAGTAACCCACTGCTCCCACACACGTTCACTTCCAACATATACAGTTCACACCAATGTGCTTCATTCTTCTGATTTTATCATTTTATATTATATTTTCTTTATTTCTAAGCCACATTGGAGCATTATAATGATTTTTTCACAACTTTTATAGTAGTTTCATTACAAGAAGTAACAATATATGAGGCGGCTGGGCTGGCGATTCAGCGACGTAGTTATAGCCCACCACCTCAACACACATTCAGTCCCCACACATACACACCCAGGCTCTTTATTTTTCTTATTTTATAGTTTTATAATATATTTTATTTCTAAGCCAAAGCATTTACCAGGGTATATGGAAAGGAATGTGTAAAAAAAAAGTCTGTTTTTCTGAGACACAAATTTGCGGGGTCTGCCTGTAGCACTGTGTATTGTAGGATATATTGGGGGATCTTAAGAGTGAGTTTCAACTAGCCAGGAAAACTTTTTATCCGGCACCTATTCAATCCCCACAGGTGCCGAATAACTGGGATTCTACTGTATATATTGTGTACTGTATATATTTAACAGTTCTTGAATCTTATTCATCACATTACATGTTTTTCTCATTGATGAAGTTCTTTTGTTCCAATCCCCAACCATGTTCATTATTTCTGTCCACGTCCTCTTCATCCAACTTCTTAGCTTCATCAAACAACAATAATGGAACAGAACGAAGGAAAATATACCCTATCACCCCTGGCACTGCCAAACTAAAGCAGCCAAAACAAGCACTACCCAGGAGTGGTAGTTTAATTTTTTGGTTTAAATTTAAAAATCAGTTTTAGTTAGAAAAACCGAAGGTTTTCAGGTAAATATAGTTTCTTGAATGATGATTTTGGGGTTGAGTACCTGCACTATACATTATTCCTTAATTAATAATCAATTATTTTCAATAAATAATAAATATTACTGTATTTCTTATACACTGAAGCAACTTAATAAAGCAACGTTCAGACTAAGAGTTATCTCATGTTTTCTTGTTAAAACAAATAATTACAATATCGTAATCATTTTTAATACACTGCTAAAAGTGACATTGGTAGATGTTAATTACAGTTTAGAAGATGATGGAGAGGTTAATTTGAGAATAGTTTCAAATATTATTTCTAAACTCTGTGGATCATCTAGGTGGTGATCAGTTCCCTTGACATATAGGAGAAATATGTCGGATGTTTGGAATCCTGTGAGCAGTTTAAGAGAGTTCTCGTATGGACTATATGTATCCTGCAATTTTGAAAAATGTATTAATGTTGACAGACTTACCTGGTACTTGCATTTATGCAATATATGTGGAGAAAGATTACTTTAACAGCATTATCTAATGTCTAGTTTACTTGTGAATTAATACGAGTAAAATCATAGGTAGAATTCATCTCATCAGCATAAAACACAGCATCAATTCAGCATTCATTAAATATATAAACTATTATATTAAACATTAATGACTGTAAAGCAATTCAAAATTTGTCACTTAACTCCCCTTTTATACATGTCCATAATATAAAATAAAACTCTATATGGAATATTAAGTGAGACAGCACTTGTAAAACAAGTTGGAGTGTTAGGCTGCAGCCTCCACCAATAACAATGGAGGTGAAGTCTTCTAATACAGTGGTCCCTCGGTTAACGAACACAATTCGTTCCACAGAGTCGTTCGTTAACCGAAATTTCGTAAACCGAATCTATTATTTCAATGGGATATTGGGTAATTGGTTCCAACTCACAGAAAAAGTATACATACAAAGTACAGCTCCTCCCCGACTTACGACGGGGCTAGGGACCCAAATCCAGGTCGTAAGTTGAAATAGTCGTACGTCGAAAATGCTTAAATAATACATAGAAGATCTAAAATGGACGTCTCTTTTTCTTTTCAGCACCATAAAACTCTCACCTTTAAGCTTGCCAGCCATTTTAAAGTGAATTACAAACGGAAATTTTGTCTGTGTACTGTTGTTGGGACTCGAAAATATGTAATTTGACAAAATTTTGGTACGACTGAGGCATGTCATAAGTGCGGTTGGTCTTAAGTCGAGTAGGTCGTAAGTCGGGGAGGAGCTGTACTGTATACCAGTAATAGAATTAGCAAAACATTAAATATAAACTAAATACAGTACTGTACTGTACAGTATATTGTGTAATAATAAATAAAAAACAATAGAATACTGTATTTTAACTTACTTTGAGGTGTGTATGTCGTATTACCGGCAGCTTTGTTTACATATCAAACAGCTGATTGTAGAGGCAGTCGATGATGACATGCCATATTCTTTACAGAGTGCATTGGTTCTAAAGCCTTCTTCGTGTTTCATAATAATTTCTGCACTGTATATTATCAATATGTTAACTAAATTTCAGAATGACCAATAATTTTAATGTAAAAATGCAAAAAATATTCAAGAGACCAACAAAATTGATGTTCACTCCACTGTAAACAAAGTTAAACTGAGAAGCGTTTTTGGGCGATTCAATCTGCTGATGGGCGCACAAAAACTGTTCCCTGTACTGTCTATATTATCAATATGTTAACTAAATTTAAGAATGACCAATAATTTTAATATAAAAAATGCAGAAATATTCAAGAGACCAACTTTCTTGATATTTACTCCACTGGAAACGAATGTAAACATAGAACCAATTACTGAATTGGCGGACTAGCTGATCAGCTGATCAGCTGATGCGCACAACAAAACATGTTTGTCATAAGGATTTCGTTAACCAAAGTTTTGTTTGTTAATCGAACTGAAAATCCTTACGGGAGCTAATTCGTCAACTGAAATTTCGTTACTCAAACTGTTCGTTAACCAAGGGACCACTGTATAGTACAGCCTTTGTGTTGCATTCATAATGTAATCCCTTAAGGTTAAGCTCTAATTGAAGACCGACACTGAAATTCAATTTTGAAGACAAACACAAATTAGGTGACCCCATTTACAGTATAACAAGCCACAGTCCATGGGTGTTAAGGACCTAGGTTCTAGACTCCTGACATGTCTATTAGGCTTAATATTCCTAAAAATTAATCCCTTGGGTGACTCGGGTTACCCTAGACCAGCAGGAAAAAGGAGGACCCAAATTATAAGAGTCCACCAGGAAGCCCAGTTTACAGCCATTATAGGAAGCTAAATTTAGTGCAGCTTCATAATGCCATTCAATTATTTTCTGAGTTGAAACTAAATAGATAAATTACATATTCAAGATGTTTGCATTTTATCCATTTCAGTCAGAGTACTGTCACCTCTCCAATTGAAGGTACAGTACAATACAGAATATTGAAGAGATAACACAATGTCAAAGTTACTTCAGTGATAAAGATTATCTTTAAAAAAATCAACATTATTAAGATTCATGATTAAAATCACAAAAGAGAAATCAAGAAATTTACCTCTGTGCCATGTATGATACGAACGGGGCAAGAAATAGGGTAACTTCCAGCTTCTTCTAAACTTAATTCATAGGGTACCATATCTTGAAACACTCGTAGAGAGACAGGATATGGTCCATACTTCGGGTCTTGGTATTCATAACATTCGCCCTTTTCCAGCATTTCTAACAGCTGAGGTGGGGCCTTTCTGCGGATTCGCTCTACATAATGATTTGCAAAATTGATAGATGGAGCAAGGAGGAGAAGACTCTGAAACTTCTCTGGGTATTTCTTTGCGAGACAAGAAGCAAGCTGAAAATAAATGGTTTTGACTTTATGGACTTAACACCATAGCAAGGTAAATTCCCTAATAATCATAATATCAAAGGTTTCTAGGCTAATATGGTAACACTGCCATAAAGTGCTGCAATTTTAGGATCAACTTTACTCCCAATTTACTTACACTTAATGCTTTCAGTGTCTCCACTATGGTTCTTTCGGCAACAGTTTGTCAAAGATTTTCCAAGGTTATGTGTAGAAGACCTTGTTATTCTTAAGAGAGAAACACACTACCTATGCTGTTCTTGAACCCAACATACATGGAAGCCTGTTTTTATCAAGAAACAGTACACATACTGTAGAGCTGAGAGTTTAAACATTATTCATCACTGCTCTGGGATAACCTAAGCACTGTGCACGACTTGACCAAGTATAGCTTATTTAGTATCCCCTCCTCAAACTCCAAAATTGTCAAAATAGGAAATGCTGGATACAGTACAGTACATTCCTTTTTTATATATCATCAGACTACAAAAAAAAAAAAAAGATGCTTGTTTTTCCACATCAGATTCACTTTTCAACTGGTATGCACTTGTGGAAAAAGTCATTTATAAATCCCTTACAACAACACTAACTTTCCTAATACCATAACTAATTGCTTACTGGTATAAAGAATTTCAGGACTTTATAATGATGCTACAGACTGTCCCTAATTACCTTATACTAAAAATATATGAAAAACACACTGCAGAACCAGAAGCATTAAGTTTTCACTGTAAAAATAATCTTGAGCTCTCCGAGGCAAGTTTATAAGAATAAAGACTTTGTGCTTACCCATCCACCCATGGAGGAGCCAATTACCAACTGAGGACCTTCAGTAAGCTGGAGCAAAGCTTCCTCAGCATCTTGCAGCCAATGAGAGAATCGTGCATCTTTCAGTTCAATGGGGCCATCTGATTCACCAAGTGCAGTAGGATCATACCTGTAATACAAAAATCACTCATAAAAAAAATGTTTATCAAGATTGAGGCCCTATTCTATAACAAAGTAGGGATCAAGGAATTCTATATTGCCAGCAAGTCTAAGGTGTTGAATCCACAGGTCCCAATTAGCTAGTGAGTTGATACATGGAACCTAGAGATCCAGTGTTCATGCCATATACTTCCCAGCATTTGTATCAGTTTATGTCACAAGATAATTATATGTAAGATACAATATGTTTGAAACCCTCTACCTACTCAGTAAGTTACCAGAGCTAGTGATATACTCATATGTTAAGTTGTAAAAAAATGTTTGTTTTTTACATTTGTTTATTGAAAAAAAAAATACTCCTTAATTATCCACTTCCATTACCCCCTCCTCCTTAACCACATTAATTTCTTCCTGCAAGATATTCCGATTATTTGTCCTAGTTTTAATACATCAAAAGCAGTTTAAATTCTGTCAATTATCTGCTATATTACCAAGGCCTACAACAATAGTCAACAAACCTGAGTTCGCATCTTTTCTTGAATTAACATTGTTTTGAGTGAGCAAGTACTGTAGTTAATATAGCAATGGTGTTTTCAAGCAAGATACAAAATGTGCTCAGAGAGTGAATCAAGCAAATATTATTGAGCAGCTTGTGGAAAATTTTAAGACAGCTGGTAGCCACAGCATCCATTTTTATTTTCATCATTTTGTACAGACTTCACCAAATTATTATCTAAATCTATATCAAAGTACAGTACTGTACAGTACAGTGTTTCAGGTACCTTTTATAACTCATAATTTCAAATTAGAGGAAACCAATTAACCAAATAAAATATTATATGAAAATGGCTCGCAGGAAGCAATGTTTTACCACCCCTGTAATAATATATCTCACAAACAGGAAATTTAGACATTACAGGACAGCATTATACAGGTATATACTCATGGTTTAATACTGCTTATTAGTTCAAGAAGTACTGTACAGACAAAATACCAAATATTACCATAAAACACTCAAGAGCAATTGAATAGTTTAAGTACTGTAGTGCAGTACTTTACTGTACAGTACTTATGTTGAGGGTTTCAAGAAAATCTAAATTAAAAAAAAAAATCCCATAAATATTTATGATATACAATAAGTATTCATGTGGATAAGCTTGACACCTAAGCCTTGTACTGTATGAAGAGTGAGCTGATATGAAGCATTGTAATTAATAAGGATGTTATGGATTCACATTGTACAGGGTGTCTCATAGGTCTAATGCCTTAGGAAAAATTAACCTTCCTTCTTTTTTATTTTCAGGTGAAGGAACCACAACAAACCAATGATGGTGACAGAGAAATTAACACGAGGAAAGAGTCAGATTAATACAGTATTCATGCATGGAAAGCCAGAAGTTCCACATCAATATTGTTTCTGTAGTTGAAAAAGAATTCAATTGAAAAAACCCACAGGCCTGACTCTTTCCTCTGGTATTGACTTCTCTGCTGTCATCGTTGATTTGTTATGATTCCCTTAACTGAAAAAGGAATAACAGATGAACATTAATTTTTCTTCAGGCATAAAACATATGAGACACCTTGTATACTTTATAAGTGGAGTGTTCCTAATGCAGTTTGTTCCTTCCTGCTGCTTTCTAGATCTACCCAGTATTTGGTACAATGAGGTCTCTTTAATCATCTCATGCATGTGGGGATAGAGGAAAGAAAATAAGAGAGATCGATAGTGTAGAAATTACATGAGGATCCTGTACAGTAATTGTTACAAATATATGAAATTTGGACAAAGAATGTATAAAGGGGTTCCCTTTCCGTAATTCATGATGGTTCCTTTGAAGTTATTACAGTACCCTGTACTGTACTCTGTACAGTATAATGCAATGAAGGACAAGTCAAAAAAAAAAAAGTGAAAACTTAGTTAACCTTTTTTTTGACATGCATTTAAAGCAGGGCATTATATTAAGGAAATAACATCTCTTTAAATAAAACCAGAAATTCAACATTTGAACTTGAACTTACCCAAAGTCCCATACCAATCTGATTTATTTCAAATATTTTTTTTTTTTGTAAAAGCACAATTGCATTGTCTATTCTCTGTGCATTATGTTTGAACTAATATTATTACCACTTGTCATACTAATTTAATAACTATACAGATGCCATCTAGCTACATAAAGACTGTAACCATGGACCAGCCATATAAATAGATACACATAAATGAACTAAGAATCCCGAGGACAATGTTACAGGTACTAATAAATTATTAAGTTTTGCAGAATTTTCTCACCTTACAAAAGGAAAGCCATTCTTCTTACAGAAATCATGAATTGCAGTAGGTTTCTCAGAATTCTTGTGTGACATGAATCCTGGAATAAAGATAATGCCAGGAGTACGCATCCCATCCACCTTACTGTAAGCTAGCCTGCGTTCTTCTCCAGATTCCTGATCTGTTACCTGCAATGTAATTTAATCAAGTTTTAGTAAATATTTCTCAATTTTGCTTCCTTTCTCCTTATTAATAAGGTAATTCCTTTATCTCTCCAAATACAATTCACTATTTATAGTAGAAACTCTTTACTGTAAGTAGTGAAGTGTAATGTGGGAGATAAAGGAATATGGATGGGAAAAGGAGATTAATTAAGTTAAGGAAGAAAATAAGAGAACTAGGGAAAATCAAACAAACAAGCAAACAAAGATGAAATAATAAGAACATTCTCAACCATCAGACAAAACTATAGCCAAGCAGCAGGTGTTCTTCCCCTCACCCAGCAACACCAATCATCCTAAGTTGTGATGAGTCTGTGTGTACATTACCCCACTACTGTAACCTTCCCTGACTCTTTTTCCTTTCTCAGTAATCCTAAGTTTTTGCTGCTCTCTAATCAATATTAATCCTCTCACTTTGATGATAATGACATTGTTCCCCTGGAGGTTCTATTTCATTCTAACTAATATTTCGAAAAATTTTTTCATCAGCAGTTATTATTATCACTGTTTTACAATTATTTTACACACATGCCTGGGTTAGCCATGATTACCTTACCTTCCAATTATAAAAAACACTTCCTGTGATGGCACTTCACCACAAGCCAGTTACTTTATTTGTAAAAACTCAATGCTACAACATCTCCAGCCATTAAACAAAGCAGATTGGATTACCGATACTCAGCCAAAGAAATCAAATTTTCCTTGACTTCATGCAAGTTGCATCAGTCCCTTTAAACTGACACTATCTGGGTTCCTGTTAAGTTGTTAGCTTAAGTATACAGTCCAAAAGAACAGACCAGGGCAATACTCACATTAACCTATAAAAACTGATGTGTGTATGGATCACCCCTAGACTTCACTAGTACCTGTATTGTGTTAAAAAAAAAAAAAAAAATCAGATAAAAGCACTTCTGTCCTAACTGGCATGACAGAGATCTAGATGTGGGGGAGCCATTTGGACACCTACACTAGGAATGAAGAAGTTGATGCCTGTCAATCCCACTACAGTATAGCCAAGCATGGTACAGTATTAAGTTGTGCTACAAGTCTCATGGCATGAAGCTCACAACTTTTACTGCCCACTTTAAATAATGAACTGTTGCACCTGAAGAACCATTTTTATACTTGGCCATGATAGGAAAGAATTTTTTTTTTTAAACAACTGACACACCGCAATTGTGCGTAAATGAGGCAAAAAGTCAGATCAGCAACCTGGGACGTGGTCACAATTTTCATGATGCCATATCATATGGCAGCAGGGTCTACCGTAAGACAAACACTTTATGCTTCCAATATCTTCCCAGGCAGTAGTAACCCCCCTGTTTGGTAGCTGCCTATTGTATGATATCTCAGGGTTTCATTGTAATAATGATTCTTAAACTCTATACAGTACAATACTGTACAGTACATGCCAAAAATTACAGTACAGTACTGTATTGTAAAATTAAAGTAAACAAATAAGGTATAAAGGTATGGGACTGCCATTGTTACCATACTTTCCAGATGCATTTCATATACAGACCCTACCTTTAAATACTGTGTATTAGTCTCCATGACAGCTCCACTTGAATTTTGTTGGCAACTCATTCTGGCATTACAAATAAACTTGACTCATATCAGTCAAATTTTTGGGAACTTGTACAGTAAAGTATATCACTTTAAGATGTGTCTTGAAGATGATAATGAGAACCCCAACACCTCCTCACACCTTAAAGGTAAGTTCACATCTGTTCCCTGGAAGTAGAAAAGGGTTACAAGGAATTTAATGGCAAATAATATACAGTACAGTATATATGTTACAGGGAATTTGTGCAACCAGGATTTCAAGAAATCCCTAAAACTTTCAGTAAGTTATATGTAATTACTGTTAAGTTAGGTTAGGTGGGCAGGGCATGAAGGATGAGGGAAATTGCAGGGTAAACATGGTGAAACAATGATCATGTGACACTAAGATTATGTCTTTACGTGCTTTGTACAAGAAAAATATTAATTAGTTGCTGTAAATACTTCTCTAAAAAATCTGCAGTCAGTGCATGTTGCCGTCTGCTCTGTTAGTTTACAACCGACCCGCTCATTCTAAGCGTACTCTCATGTCCACAAAAAAGTTAAATTACACCATAATATTTCAACAATTTGCTTTCATTGGTACCAGATATAAAAATATGTATATTTTGTTTAATATAGCAGGGGTCCTGGGGGTTAAGTAATTAAATTAGGTTAGGTTAGGTTAGGTTTATTTGGTTGGTTTGGTCAAGTTCTATCAGGTTCTAGTAAATTTGGCACTTTTAAAATACTTACTATAATGGTCAGGACATCTGTGGAAAAAAATTACTCAGACATTACTAAACACATCACCGAGATATATACAGAACTGAGAGATGAATACCTGTACCAGTACAGTACAGTACTGAGGTTCAACAGTGCTGTACAGTACTGAGGTTCAACAGTACAGTACAGTACTGAGGTTCAACAGTGCTGTACAGTACTGAGGTTCATTTATGCTATAAGGATCTGTTATAAAACGTCAGTTCACCAAACTGCTAAAGAAACAGAAGCCACAGCCTACTTGTCATTGTTACAGTACTGCATTTTAAAGAAAATAAAAAAGAAATAGTGCTGTACATTCCGGGGTACATGTTGTGAAGAACTACGGGTACTTTAAATGTACAGTAAAGTACTTACTTACAATTAATGAACCCACTGTTGGAACCGCTAAAAACCTAAAACTTAATTGGGATATGGTCAATAGATCTTCACCTTCAGTGTTTCAGCGGTCATGATGATACTGCACTGTGCCTTCCCTCCTCTACTGCTGGGCCAATTGTGTGATAATTTAACTAAATAAATATCTACACCCTGTACATTAATATTTCTAGTTATTACTTCTAAATTATAGTTCAGTGATAGAGCTTGTCAATTTTCTGAAAACATCAATGATAAGAAGTTTATAAGTTACTCACTGGTTCTGTCACTCACTGGCCGGTCGGTTACTCTCTGTTACTGACTGTTGACAAGTCTCGACCAACACACTAAAGGTGTTCCAACACTACCGACCGGGTCACCAAACAAGACTTTACACATTCCTCAATTATATCACAAAAATATTCAATTTTAGTAATAAAACACTTAATTCTATTTAAAAATAATATAATATTTTTCAAAATAATATAACGTTTAAGGCAGAAAACTTTACCAGGAAAAATATAGACGAATTACTTTCAAACACGATGTACACTTATCCCTTATAGTACACTAGTCCGTATCAATTGGACCTTCCCAATCATCCTATAGATACCTTGAGTTCTCCTTAATGCTATGAGTACATCCACTTAATATTACATGACCATACCTTGGTACAATTCGTTATAAAACAACATACAGTAGGTGGGTTATTCCTTCCCAAACTTTCTCGTTTTCTACCGTATTCTGTGACTCTACAAGCGAGGTGGATTTGAATGTTATGTAGCGTAATATGAATTAACGAGATATTAAGAATGACAACGATAGGCGCAGTACACCTTGTCCTGCTGAAGTTTTTCGACTCCTCAGGGAGCAATGGGGTTACCGGTGAGTGGTGGTCTTATGGTCACCTTCTCCGAATGGGGACAGACCAGGCAGGTGCTGGACGTTAAAGTCATCGACGTTCCAATCAAGATAGAAGTTCATGACGCCGACAACTTGGTGATGGGAATGATCTCCCACGCCGAAATTAAACATCTGGACCAAGACGAGCTGGCCGAACTGATCGGTGACCAGCTCTACGTCGTAAGGAAGCTGACCAGTCATTGGCCCTGGTTAGCCACCCGAAGACACTACCGCAAGAAATGCAACTGGGACGGGAGACCATCCTAGTTATGGCTTATGGTGCAACACCCACAAGTACCAGCTAGGGAGGACCACCGGGCACCAGCACACCACGTGTTCAGTGGAGGGAGCAGAGTAGGGTAGTCAAGGTGTGATTATAGAGGAAGACCAAGAAACAAAAGAAACGTGAAGAACCACAACAACAAGCGAAGAAACAAGGACCTGAAGAACAAGATCAAGAAATATGGAAAGTGCCAAAAAAGAAGAAAAACAAGAGAAAGCGGTTTAATTCACAAGTCTCTGGCCGTAATAACCACAGCAGTTGGCGGCCAGCAAATCCAATAAAGAAGTACAGTACAGTACAGTACAGTACAGTACAGTACAGTACAGTACAGTACATGATGTAAGCAAATAACATATTGGATGAACAGGATATATGACGTTTTTTCTGTGTTCATGATTCCATATATCTGCACTATTTGGTGGGGACAGACGGTGCCCCATCTTGGGTAGGACTGACAGTTAGGTGCCCTTTCACAGCTGGGTGAACTGTACTGACATGGATAATAACCAATGATCATGAGGACAGGAGGAAAGAGCTGTATCCATTCGCCTGCCTTACACATAGTTCTTAATATTTTAATCAAACCCTCCACTATTTTGCTCAACTGCAATAACTATAAAGTATAACATGATGAATGATGGGTTGATAAGATGTAACGGGGACAACAAGAGTAGTTTCATATATTGCGATATAAACAGCAGCTTCATTACGGTATAATGTTCAAAGATCAACAACATTGCTGCTTCATCGCTTGCTTATCCAAAAACTGTATCATGATTGATACCACAGTTGATGACGCATCCAACGATGGCTCGTTTTCTCCGACTTACTGGTGTTTAACGTTGTGTTTCGTGTAACAACGCTGACGTAAGTTAAACTGTAATTTCCGCTGACGAAGACTGGTGAAAGACACCTAATAATTTACAGCAAGGCCGTGTGCCAAGTCTGTAATTCCTGGCGGTGCGCCACTAAGAACATCACCCTTTTTGGTTAACCAGTCATGCGCATGCGCAGATACTTATCAGTATACAGTATATTCATACTTAGCGTTCGTGTACACAGTCTATTATTACTGATAATCTCTCCTACTAAGCACCATCGCTTTTACCTTATCAATTTCCAGGATACCCAGACAGTTTGTCGGTATAGCGTTACACAAAGGGTTCGTGTATGAGGCTCCTTTCTCTCACTCGGCCATTATAAACACCAACTCCGTTTTCAGTCTGATTTGTGGTTCTGTCACACGCTCACCTTCACGCATAACAGACATATTGTTGTTGGTTTTCTCTTTGTACTCTCCACCAGTGTTGTCTAGTGCTCTACGGTGTGTCTAGTGTACCAACTGAAGGTCTTAGCTATTGCTGCACAGTATTACATATGACCAGTGAAGAGAGACCTACCACTAGTTATACCGTAGCTGACCCCAGACTTCCTCACATTTTGACGCTAAAGTTAACAATTTCTCCCATAAACAGGAATAAACAATCCTTAATCATCTCAACATTAGACTTGAAAACTTTGACCCAAAATTAGAAATGAAAATTAAATCCCCAAATTAACCTGAAAACTCTTAGGTAGGTCCCCAAGTTACATAATAATCTCTCTTATATTAATAAAAATATTTGATAGGCTTTATACATTGTGTTCAGCAGTAAAATAGTTTATAATCCCACCTGCTTATACTTATACAATGAATCAACTTTTAGCGTCCGATTTAAACTTTAATCTTAAAATGCAGAAATTAATTACTCAACTGCACTACCACATTTTACTTAATTACTTAATTGCAATAACACGGGTTAATTTATGTTACCTCGGTTTCTTAATCTATTAAATGGGGGGGGGGGTTGTTACTAGTTCCGAGCGATAACTTGTCGCTTCGGTGTGGTAGTCGCTGGTGTGGTAGTCGCTGGTGTGATAGTCGCTGGTGTGGTAGTCGCTGGTGTGGTAGTCGCTGGTGTGGTAGTCGCTGGTGTGGTAGTCGCTGGTGTGGTAGTCGCTGGTGTGGTAGTCGCTGGTGTGGTAGACTGTGATGGTCGCTGGTGTGGTAGTTGCTTGTGTGGTAGTCGCTGGTGTGGTAGTCGCTGGTGTGGTAGTCGCTGGTGTGGTAGTCGCTGGTGTGGTAGTCGCTGGTGTGGTAGTCGCTGGTGTGGTAGTCGCTGGTGTGGTAGTCGCTGGTGTGGTAGTCGCTGGTGTGGTAGTGGTAGTCGCTGTGACCATAATGAGGCAAGAGACCCACCTTGACTTTCTCAGTGCCCAAACAACGCAGACAACAACAGACAAATTATAATGTCAGCAGAATCAAACGCAGACTTGAGCAGACAATCAGGTAAATAAGACACGAGAGCCGCAGATAACCGCAGACAATCACATGAGGAACACAACACAGACGAGAGCAGACAACCGCAGACAATCAAATAAACAAGACTCCCAGGCCACGAGATCATATTAACAGCATCCAAATGCAGACACCAGCAGACAGTCCTTAAGAGACACTGGAAAACAGAAGCCGCCAATATGACAGTTAATTATCGTGTGCTCCCTGGCAGCCACACGAGTGCTTGCCAACAGCTGGTCACGACGGGGCTCCTGTCAGCTCTCTCAGATAATTGATTCTGGACAAATTTCACATAGTTGATGGATATTGAAGGTGTGTGTGTGTGTGTGTGTGTGTGTGTGTGTGTGTGTGTGTGTGTGTGTGTGTGTGTGTGTGTGTGGTTCAAGTGCTTGCAGGTATAGATTGTGAGAAAGTGGTGGTTAGTATGAGAGGAATGTTGGTCAATATCTCTCTCTCTCTCTCTCTCTCTCTCTCTCTCTCTCTCTCTCAACAGCCACACTAACCATTGCCATCAAAACTTTATTAACTTAAAACTGTACACAAGGTTTCGTGACTTAGCAATATTCAGTTACAGCTATAATTCTCTCAACACGTAACAGCAACTTGTGGGTCATGTGTGTGTGTGTGTGTGTGTGTGTGTGTGTGTGTGTGTGTGTGTGTTTATAGCTGGTGAATACTCGTGATTTTTATTGTTTATTATGTCAGGTTTAGGTTAGGTCAGGTTTAGGTTAGGTCAGGTTTAGGTGAGATTAGGCTAGGTTAGGCTAGGTTTAATTGAAGTTTAATGTACTTTATAATAAGTTGGGATATAATACGGTAAACTAGATCCGGTTTAAGTTTGGACACAGCACCCAGAAGCTACCTGAATATTATTATTATTATTATTATTATTATTATTATTACTAAGCATCAGTTCAGGCCTTAATAGTTATCTCTCCTCTGTCTGTCTGTCTCGTCTCTAAAACAGTATGACTCCATCTTTGAACCCGGATGTAACCATTGAACCAAACTGATGGGGTATCCTACAATTAAGCCATAGTTGAGCCACGCAAGCATATTATTTTGTGGATCCAAGGGGCCATGAATACCAACCAGATCCTCCCCGAAATTGCTGCTCACCAAACGTCTGTTGCAACCCTTGATGCTGACGGGCTGGCCTCCGAGAGACAGCTGGACTGAGTCTGGGCAGATTTGGATGTCGTCGTGTCCAATATTGTAGAGACCAACAGTACTACATTATGTAATAGCTTCACTGGTCCAGGTTATTGTAGCGCCACTAGTTCTAGGTATATACAATAGCTCCACTAGTCTTGGTTATATGTAATAGTGCCAACACTAGCCCTCAGAACTTGTAATAATACTAGCCCTGAGGCATGAATAACGCCCACTACACATGAATTAGCCTGAGAGCATGAATAACGCCAACACTAGCCCTGAGAGCATGAATAACGCCAACACTAGCCTGAGAGCATGAATAACGCCAACACTAGCCCTGAGAGCATGAATAACGCCAACACTAGCCCTCAGAACTTGTAATAATGCCGACACTAGCCCTGAGAATTAATGAAAAAATTATTATTACTATTACTATTACTATTACTATTACTATTATTACTATTATTACTATTATTACTATTATTATTATCTTAGGCTTTTACTATCACTGTTTTTACACGGGATAATGAGCATTACAAGGTGCGAATGGCCAGCTCTAACTCTCGCCCTTGAGAATATAAGCCTTAGTATTACCGTAAACATTTCCTTTCATAGAATTTACGGGATAAAATCATGAAAATTACTTTCCAAAGTCCTTCTCCGGCTCGTGTGATTGATGGCCACCAAGATTACTTTCAAAAATTCCTCTTGAGCTTCCATAATTGATGGTGGCACGGATTGAACATTCCCTCTGGCACTGGTAATGGATGGTGACACACGTTACCTGCACCTCCCTGTAATGTACGAGGCTACTTATTGCTTGTTAGACTCTGCCTGGGCGCTCATGGGACGACGGTGATGATTAATCTACGCTCTATGTATTCTCTAAATATGTACTGTATGTTTGTGAAATTGTACTTCATTAACTGGGCAATTTTGCAAAAAGGTGTGTGTGTGTTGGGGTGTATGCCGGAATAGAAGGGAGATTGCATGACTAAAGGAGGTTGAACCCAACTGGATGAAAACCTTTGAAGTGACGGGTGTGGAGCTGCCTGTACCTACACTAGCCTCGGGATCTGTGTCAGGTGCGGGAGGTTATCTATATGAAAACTAGAATAACTAAAGCTCCCACATATTCTTAGTTGCCCTGAAAAACAGACACCCATGTTGTCATTTGCCTGCAGCTGTCTTTCTGTTAGTGGGAACAGGACAGGAAAGATGGCTCCTAGTTCATCGAAGCTACGAGCCTCATATGAACAGGATGATTTGCTATTAAACATCCTGCATGGGTTTGTATAAGATCATGCGTAAAGTTGAAACAGACAAGGAAACATAGATGGTGGGTTCATAGATGGTGGGTTCATAGATGGTGGGTACATAGATGGTGGGTTCATAGATGGTGGGTTCATACATGGTGGGTTCATACATGGAGTCTACAGTACTCTGGTGATAAAGTGTTTGGTTATTAACATATTATCACACTGACTACTAAATACATTGTCCGATGTATGGAAGAACCTTGTGAAGGGGAGAAGTGTGAAAATCAATAATACTACATCTGTCATTTGCTAGGCTACACTGAGTGACCTATAATCACTGGCTCATATTATCACACTGACTAAATTGCCTAATGTGTGTGTGTGTGTGTGTGTGTGTGTGTGTGTGGAGAACCTTATACAGGGGGGTAGATCTGAACACCCATAATGCATGGGAAGGAACACACCCCTCTATACCCCTGTAGGCTATACTAAATGACCTATTATTCCTGGCCATATCTTAATTTGTTTCTCATACAGGGATACAGGCTTCTCAGTGTCCAGGACAGAATTTTTTTTTCCTCGAGGTGTTTTGCTGGATGAGGTGAGCAAACAGGAATAGTGAGGTCATAATGTGGGATTCTCTCGTCCGTTGCGTTTTCAATCGCTACAGGGACCGATTGGCTTGCACTGCAGACGCACAACACTACTGCTACCACTAATGCAACGTGCCAATGGAAACAACCGTGTACATTTCAATATGATATATTTTTGTAGCTAACTCTAACGCGTGAATAGAATCCTGGCTTTATTCACAAAGTTTCATGTTGAATATTCCTCGTAAGTGAAAGTGTAAGAATATGCTTAATGAACAAACAAAAAATTATGTCACAGTTGCCGAGATTCTATATTAACTAGATATGTTCATTTACGTTCACCAGTTTGGAGGCAGGATTAGGTAGGTAATTTTAGGAAAGTTTCTGTACATTAATTTTGTCTCGTTCAAGTTCCATTAAATTTTCGATAACATATTCTTAGTTTTTTTTTATATACAAAGTCAACCAGTTTACATTTTTTTTACCTTCCAGTTTCGAGGAATTTTTATTATGAACTTTTGTGAATCCGGAATCTGGAACGTAAGCGACCAAAGAGATTAGTGGTGTTTACTTTCCATCAATGAGTCAAACATATGTTGCCAACACCGTAGAGTTTCCCTTCATATTCTCGCCCAGACTGTTGTTCCCTTCACCCTTTCTTGTGTTTGACTTGAAGAAACAGTAAAGTTTGATATGTATCTTAAAGTATAAAAGTATCTCTTGTTGTCAATGTATATGTTGTGACGTCGCACCAAAGGACATCCATATAGAAAAAAAGGGAGCTACAAGTTGGCAACATCTGGTGGGTTCTGTCGAGAGGCAAAAAATACCTCAGACATTCACGTTAGTTTAAGACGCTTTCCACTCCAAAAAATTTAATAATTATCGAAGAAAAAAGAGCTTTCGGAAGCTTCTTAAGACTCAAATGTGGGCGGTAGAGAGTGGCTGTGTTGAAATACGGAGGCAAAGTTGAAAGTGTTGGGAGGTGTGAGGGAGGCAGAGGAGCTGGGGGGAGGACTGCTGCCTTACGCTTACTTTCGACCCCTCTGTGTTGTGGCGGGAGAACTGGTCCAAACTTTGATTGGCTTGTCCCGGGAATAGAAAGTCCATTATGGGTTTTTCCGAAGATGGGGTAAGTGGTGGAAGGGAGGTGGGGGGGAGAAAAGGCGAGAAAGTATAAGAAGGGTGATGTTTTTGCAGACGCACACACACACGAACCCCCTCTTCCCTTTCTCCCCCGCCCTCTTCCTCTCCATCTCTTCATTCTCCTCCTCCTCTTCTTGCTCGTCCTCATCTTTTATTCCCGGCGACAACGGAACTCCCTCTCCCCGCCTGTGTCTTTCATTCAACAAATATACTGCAGGTCTTCAAGTGTACAGCATACAGACGACTCAGGTTGTCAATAAATTAGTACTGACTCTCCCTGCATCGAGGAGAGAGGCGACCTGGGTGGTGGGTGTGGGTGTGGAGATCAGAGGCGACCTGGGTGGTGGGTGTGGGTGTGGAGATCAGAGAGGACCTGGGTGGTGGGTGTGGAGCTCAATGATTCGCCGTTCGTGTCCATTCATAGTCTGTGTTAGGAGTAAGTTGGCACCTAGTATATACAGTATGTGGCAGCCAGTACATATGTGGCACTCCTGACGCTTGGCAGTGAGATGCAACACTGTATTCAGGTCAACGGACGTCTCCCCTCCCTCCCTCTCTCTCCCTCAGTCCCAGTTTCCTCACACGATGTCACTGTCACAGATGAATTTGACCTTGGATGACCCTCAAAATCGGTTTGGTGAGTTAAAGTTAAATCACATAAGGAAACCGGATGCGGGGAGTAGGGGAGAGGACCCTAGCTAGCAGATAAAGCCAGCACGGAGCCCGAAA